AGAGCCCTAACGACTGAGGCGGATAATCACTACCCCCAGCTGAAGAAGAAGAAGGCACGCCACTTTGCAGATGAAGAGGCACTGCAGCCATACCCAACAGGTTGGGGGGATCCGGTTGTGAAGACTGCCTCCCCCCGGGACACAAATGTAGATTGTGCCTGTTTGGCCTTGTTAAATTGGTGTTCCAATGCCTTGGTGCGCCTCAGAGCATCTTTGTCCTGACCCGAAATGTCCTTTGACAGAGCCTGGCGAGGCTTGCGCCTAGTTGAGGCCCCAGATCTTTTGGTGGAAGCCAAGGCTTAGGCGCCCTTGGCGGGCTGGTCTCGTGTTCCAAGTCCGAGGATAAGGAGTCGGCCATTGGTGAGGACATTAGAGGTATAAAGTTTAAGCAAAATCTCAAGAAACGTGCAGGGCGTAGAAGTGGGACTAAGGACCCCCAAAATTACTACCACTTCTAGATCAATCCCCCTTTTGGCCACAGGCCAGGCCTAAAAGGAACTGACCAACCTGGCCATGTAGCATGAGAGCAGCCGCTCTCCCAGTGTGTAAGTTCACTCCACAAGAATGGCCACCAAGGCGCTGGCTCAAATACAAGCCGTAACGTGCCGCTTCGCAAAGATGTAGCAGGCAGGGAACTCCCCGACGTTCAGTGAAAACACCACCATGGCCCTGCTGCTGTCAAAATGGCATCCGCCAGCTCCCTCGGCACCAACAAAATGGTGGCCATGATGCCAAAATCAAAATGGCGGCCACTCTGATGAAAAACAAAATGGCGGCCGCTTCAGTGATGGTGGGTTCGGCAGGAAGTCTCAATGACCCAGCAGCAGCTTCGGTACAGATGAAATGTGGCGCAAGGCAGAAAAACCTTGTCAGCGCCACAAAGCGAATCCAGACTTCAGAGTTTGCCACAGAAACCGTGCAGTGACTCTGGAGCTGCCAACTAACTGAGAGCTCAATTGGTGGTGGCGTTGTGCCAGCAGACCAGGAAACCAGCACACACACCAGCGGCTAAATTGCTACTCACGGAGCCGCCTCGGGGGGACAGAATCCGGACTCCTGCTTCACAGAAATTTCGGGGAGGCGCGGGACAGCCCGGAGCCCCAGGATCGTCGCACACACCTCAGCAGCTAGCAAGGACCCTCACAGCTCTCTCCGAAAAGGAAATAATCAAAATAAAGTAAAATTCTAAGCGAAAGACTAGAAATACAGCTTCAAGCCACAGAGCGAAAAAAGACAGCAGTCTTGTCAGCAACTGAGTGAAAAAGACTGACGTGTCAGGGGATAAGGAGGTGTGGTCAAAGGGCGAAGAAAAAAAAAATCACACTCAGTTCTGTCAAGACATGAGGAAGAACAACCCATCCATGGATTGTATAAGCAGCGCACTGGAAAACAGGTTGGCCCTGACCCTGCTGCACTTTCAGAAAGCTCTTAAAACCTGCTATTTTCCTGGGCAGGGGAATCAGCCCAAGATGTGTCAGTTGATTGGCTATTGTTGGTTGTCTTTTGATGCTAATGTGTTGTTGTTTTTTTGTTTTGTTTTAGTTAATAGAATAATTTGTAATGAAGTTTTAAATTGTGTTACCACCCAGAGTCCCTCTTGCAAGATGGGTGAACAGCTAAATAGAAGTAAATGACTAAATGATTATGGAGAGGGAATTAAAGAGACAAAGAAAATTCTTTATAAAGAATAGATCAAACGTGTCCAAGGAAGCAAGAAGAAGAATTTGTCCAGTACTGGAGGCCTCATTCTGTCTTAAAGAGCTGCACTCTTTGTCATGTGCACAGTTAACGTATTTATAAAACAAGGTATTTTTGGAGTGTTTTCTGCACTGAACCAGAATATATTTGAAACAGACTGAACTACAGCAAAGTGAAATAATATTCTCAGTTGTTTGTTTTTACAGTATTCATTTTAACTAGAGCTATAAAAAAAGGACTTGCAGCTGGGAATCTAGTTTTTATTTACCTTCCCTAAATGATAGCCTAGTGACAAAGAGTTATTTACCATGTTTGCAACTGATGTGTAATTTATTGGCTACATAGTTCTGAAAAGTTAAGAATATTTAATTTTAAACCCTACCAGAGTTTTGTTTAGATCACCTGAAAATTTAATTCTCCAAAATAGTTATATATGTTTGAAGTTGAACTATAAAAGTTTCCAAGAACTTTTCTTCAGGCAAGATAATTAAAAAGGTGGAAGGAAGCAGTGGGAGGAACTGTGATGAAATATTAATTCTTTTAGAGAATAGGTAGTCCTAGAAAGGCTCTTATGGTTGGATTAGGAGATCTCCCAAATCATACTGGGAAAATGAAACAAGCAACTTTTCTTTTAATTTTGTAGCTAGTATAAATACTCTTCAGTCTTCACCTATCACCCAAAGCAGGCTGACATGATGACCTAGGAATCCTTATACATACATATTTCTGAATAAATGCAATAAGCATACTTACTGTATTGTCTATTAATGCGCTTTGGCTGCTATGTTCTGAAGCAAAAATGTGTTCCAAGGTTCCTATATATTGAAGAGAAGACAAAAACATTTCAAAGCCAACTGAATTTATTTTAAAATTTCCAACAGATAGCAGATTTATAAAATATTAAAACACAAAATTTCTCAATATTCATTCTCTTTAGTTATCTCTCTACATTTCCAAAATAATTTTAAAAAACTAAACAGAGATTTATATATGCTGTCCCTTTAACTCTTACTTTTGTGTTTATAAGCTACAAAAATACATATTGTTGTACTGATTGTTTTGTTTTTGGATACCTTAATATTGCATTGTTTAAATTTGTCTCAGAAAGCCAATTCGGTGTAGTGATTAAGACACAAGCTAGAAACTGGGAGTATGATTCTACTCCCACTTTAGACATGAAGCTAATTGGGTGACCTTGGACCAGTCAATCTCTCTCAGCCCTAGGAAGAATGCAAGGACAAACTACTTCCAAAAACTTGCCAAGAAGGTTTCATGGACTTGTTCAGGAAGTTGCTAGGAGTCCAGATTGGCTCAAAGGTACTACCAAAAAAAGAAAAAAAAAAGCTAACCTATGTCACAGATTCTTTCATGTGTTTGGAAGCCAAAAGTACAATTAAAATAACTATAAATTAAACTAACTTTAAGCATAAACTAGTTTTTGATATATTAGTAATTAGTTTAATAATTTCTTTGAATTGAAGGTGAAATTATTTCACCTATTTTTGAAATATTTTTCAAATAATTACCGTACTTCCCATCAACCACAGCTGAAAACGTGTGCCTTAGAAATAATTAATAAAGGTTGAAAGGCATAGGACCTAGTTATCTTCGAGACTGCCTGCTGCTACCGATGACCTCCCACCGACCTGTGCGCTCCCACAGAGAGGGCCTCCTCGGGGTGCCATCAGCCAAACAATGTAGGCTGGTGACCCCCAGGGGGAGGGCCTTCTCTGTGGGGGCACCTACCCTCTGGAATCAGCTGCCCCCAGAGATAAGGAGAATCCAAGATCTCGGTGCCTTCCGCCGTGCCCTTAAAACTTTCTTTTTTCAGCAAGCCGGGCTGGCTTAACATATTTTTTAACATATTTTTAATTTTTTAATTGGTTTGTTATCTTAAATTGGGGCCAAATTAATATATATCCTTTTAATTGTTTTTAATGTTTTTATCTGGCTGTACACTGCCCTGAGTCCTTCGGGAGAAGGTGCGGTATATAAATTTGAAATAAAATAAAATAAAATAAAATAAAACAAAATAAAATAAAATAAAATAAAGCATATTCTTTATTAAAATAATAACTTTTTTACTAAGAATCTTAGTTAAGGCTATAATTAAATGTACATTTGCTTGGGAATAAAGTCTAATAAACACAATAACTCTAACACAGGCCTTAATACTTATAATCTAAGCACATACTATGTCCATAAAATAATTTTGCCATAATTTTGCTATGAATAAATTTATAATTTCACTCTCAGAAGTCAAATAGCGGTAAATATAATACCTTGCTTAATTCTTTCTCAGGGGAAAAAAAATCAAAAACACTGAATCACTTTTTAAATTATGTGAGATGATAAGACTTTTCAGTTCTTCAATAATAAAAGTAACCTCAGTGAGTTTGATTTTTAATAAATCATAATAGAGATTATAGACAAGCTGTACTTGAATTACAAATATATAATTGATTTATTATGTGCCATCGAGTCAGTGTCAACTGTTAGTGACCGCATAGATAAGTTTTTTGTCTGTCCCAACGTGATTCTTTCAGGTCTTCCAGTTGTGCACCCATCACTTCAATAATTGAGTCCATGAACTTTGCTAATAGTTGTCTTTTTATTTAAATCTTTCCTCCTACAGTATGAAAGGACCCAGCTCTCCTGAGAGGTTTATAATGCTGGGAAAGGTAGAAAGTAAGAGAAAAAAACTATAATTTCAATTAAATTCTCTGATACCAAGGATTTCAAGTTCCTCCTCACCAAATTTCTTTCTTGAGTGATATTGGCATATACTATTCGCTGTTCCTGTGCTCTTCCGCTCTCCTTTTTCTTCAGTTCGTATAATTAATAATTTTGTTGCAGCTGCAGTACCTTGTATCTGGAAGAATATCTTAATAAGTTATTGTGGAAATCACAAGAATTCTTTCCTATAGAATCAATGCAGTGAGCCCTTCTTATAATGATTATTGGGCTGATTTGACTCTTTGGATGACCGTACAGTTTGCAAATAAATATTTAATCCTAACCAGCAAACTGTCATATTGATTTACTTCACTGGTCAGGTGCTGAAATTTAAAAATGAAAACAAAATATAAAAAGTATTCCATCCATTCTTTAATTTTATTTTCTCATGCTTTCAGATGTTTGCACCCCAATTCAGCTTACTGATTGTTATAAATTACATAATTATTGGCTAACTATAAAACTATTTCTTACCTGATGGCAGGTTTTAGGTAACATGTATGGTGCCCAATAAGGCTCCCCAGACTGACAATCCTGCACAGTTCCATGTACAAGAATTACCTCATCCATAGCTTCATCATAAATATCACATTTAGTGTGATTTGGTACATCCACGACATACGTATTAGAAAACTGCATACACATTCTGTATGTCCAATTCTGTACACCAAGGACATATAAATTAGATGTACATTTATAAAAATTCTAGCTTGGCTATAATTCAAGATTTTTATGCAGGACAAAGTAGAATTTCCCTTGAATCAAGCTTAACTCTTTTTTTTTTTTTTTGACAAAAATTTTATTTTTTAAACAAGTATAAAAAACAAATTAAAAAAACCTTCAATGTATGTTGACACAGTGTGTCGGTTGGTTACAAGTCTTTTGTGCATCTTCACTCTATTCTTATATATCCATATATTATTATCCTCATTAATCATATATTTAACTATGGCTGTTTCTTCCCTCATTTCATACAAAATAGTCTAAGATTTGAGTTAATTTTATTATGCCATTTATTCTCCTAAATCATTCCAATAACAGTACATCTTTATATTGTGTTTTATATAATTCTACATTTCTTGCACTAGAAAAATCTCAATATTTCATTTCCATGACTTTTATCTAACCATTGGTAAAATAAATCCCATATCTTATAATATTGTTTATCTTCTTATTCTCTAATTTCAAATGTCAATTTACTCATTTCTGCACATTCCATTATTTTCTTAATAACTTCGTCTTGCGATGGTGTTTTCTCGTTTTTCCAATTTTTAGCAAACACAATTCTAGCCGCTGTTAATACATTCACAATCAAATATCTCAATTCTCTATTATATATTTCAGGTACAATCCCCAATAAAAAAATCTCTGGTTTAAAGTCAATGTGTTTTTGTGTCATTTTTTCCACCCATGTCTGGATTTTAGTCGAATATCTTTTAGCTTCTGCACACGTCCACCACATACGGTAATATGAGCCCAGTATCTGATGACGTTTCCAACATTTTTCCGATTTATTCTTGAACATTCTAGCAATTCTTGTCAGGGGTAAGTGCCACCTGTAAAACATCTTATACAAATTTTCTTTATATGCAGTTGACATTGTCATTTTATAATTTTGCGACCACAATTTTTGCCATTTCTCTAAGTCAATTCCATGTCCAAAATTTTTCCCCCAAGCAATCATTGTTTCTTTAAGTTGTTCATCTTCCAATTTAACCTCTAATAGGTAGCCATACAATTTTTTAATTATGTTTTCATCAGTACCTGTTAAGATTTTATCTAAACTAGTCAAATTATTATAAAAACTTTCTGTCTTATAGTCTTTATCATGTCTAGACTGTATTTGCGAATAAGAAAACCAATTCATCTTTATACCTTGTACTTCTAATTCTTGAAAAGATTTAAGTTCACTCTTTTCATTCAGTAATTCACTATATCTAACAATTTGTTCCTTTCTAAAAGTTATTGAATGTGAGAATGCTTCAACAGTTGATAACCAGACCGGAATTTTTAAATAATGTTGTTTTTTTTACCTTCTCCCAGTTTAATAGCAAAGCCTCTCGTATGAAATGTCTTCTAAAATACCCCTGTGTTTTTGTTTCCTTGTACCATAAAAAGGCATGCTAACCCAGTAACAAATCATGCCCTCCTAAAGTCAATAATCTGGCATTTCTTAACATTATCCATTCCTTAACCCACATCAAACTTGTTGCTTGATAATATAGTTCCCAATTAGGCAAGCCAAAACTTCCTTGTATTCTGGCATCTTGCAACAACTTTAGTTTTATCCTTGCTTTCTTACCCTGCCAAATATATTTCAGCACTATTTTATTCAAATCTTCAAAATAATCTTTCCCCAATCTGATTGGGATTGTCTGGAACAAGTATAGGATTCTAGGCAGAATATTCATCTTAATCGTTGATATTCTCCCTATCAATGATAGTTGTAGATTTTCCCACTTTGCCAAGTCAGTCTCTATCTGTTGCTTAAGTTTATTATAGTTATTCTCTTTGAGTGCACTGCATCTTGCTGTCAGATGTATCCCCAAGTACTTAACTTTATTTGCGACCTGCATCTTCGATGTTTCCGCCAATTCTTCTTTTTGTTTTATTAACATATTTTTTGTCAAGATCTTCGTTTTATCTTTATTTATTTTCAGACCAGCAACTTTTCCATATTCTCCTATTTTGTCTATCAGTTTAGTTGTTGATTCTAATGGATCTTCAAGAATAAAAACCAGGTCATCAGCAAATGCTTGCAATTCCTTTTGAATCTTCATTCCCTTTATATCTTTATCTTCTCTAATATTTCTATTTAGCACTTCTAATGTTAATACGAACAATAAAGGTGACAGAGGACAACCTTGTCTCGTACCTTTTTTTATTTCAAGAGACTCTGTGAATTCTCCATTTATTATTACTTTTGCTCTTTGCTTGTAGTATATGGCGTCTATGGCTTGAATAAATTTTCTACCAAAGCCCATCTGTTCTAGCTGTAATAACATAAATCGCCAGTTCACATTATTTATTTTATTTTGCTTTAATTTATATGCCGCCCTTTTCCGGAGACTCAGGGTGGCTTACAATGCGTTAAGCAATAGCCTTCATACTTTTGTATATTTATACAAAGTCAGCTTATTGCCCCCACAATCTGGGTCCTCATTTCACCTACCTTTGAAAGGATGGAAGGCTGAGTCAACCTTGAGCCTGGTGAGATTTGAACTTGCAGTAATTGCAAGCAGCAGATTTTAATAACAGTGCTTTAGTCCACTGTACTACAGGCCGGTTATCAAAGGCTTTCTGAGCATCTAAAAATATCAAAGCCATTTGCTTTTCAGGATGTGCCTCATAATATTCCAATGTATCCAGAATTATTCTCATATTGTCTTTAATCTGTCTTTTTGGCAGAAACCCATTTTGATCGGAGTATATGAAATTATTTAAATATCTTTTGAGTCTTTCTGCCAATATTGAAGCGAAGAGTTTATAGTCTGAATTTAGCAGGGAAATAGGCCTATAATTCTTAATTTGTTGTGGGTCAGTATCCTCCTTTGGAGCAAGTGTAATGTATGCTTCTAACCATGATTTGGGTAATTTCTTCTTAGACATAACTTCATTCATAACTTCTAACAATGGGAGATTCAGCGATTCCTGTAGTGTCTTATAATATTCTGCTGGTAACCCGTTCGGGCCCGGTGCCTTCCCATTCTTTTGTTTTTTAAGTGCTTCAGTCAATTCCATCATTGTTATATTTCCTTCTAACATCGCTTCAGTGTCTTTAGAAATCTGGGGTAGTTGCGCCTTTTCCAAATATTGTTTAACACTTTCCTCCTCTATGTTCTCTTGCTCATACACTTTTCTATAATAGTCTTGTATAATTTTTTTCTTCTCTTTATTTCTATATCTAATCTGTCCTTGGTCATCCATTAGTTGTATTATTTTTCTTGATTCTCTTTCTTTTTTCAGTTTATATGCTAACCATCTATCTGGTTTATTTGCATCTTCAAAACAGTTCTGTTTGGCACTTCTAATTTTTTGTGCTAAATCCTCTTTTTCTATTAATCCCATTTTATGTTTAATTGTATCCATTTTTATTTTAATATCCTTTTTTTGTGGAGATTTCTGGAATTCTTTTTCAAATTTCTTGTATTCATCCTCTAATCTTTTATAAGCTTTTAATGTCTTTTCTTAATATTTCTTTTCCTTGTATAGTCTATAACAGTGATGGCGAACCTTTTTCCCGTTGCGTGCCGGAAGTGTGTGTGTACATGCGTGATAACACGTGCGCGTGCCAGCACCCATAATGCAATGCAATGCCCCCACCCATGCGCATGCGCACATGACACCCCACGCAAGCGCCCCGTATTGCGCACCCCCATGCATGCATTCTGCATTATACATGCGCAGTCCCCCACATGAGTTTTGTTCCCCCCCCCACGGCCTGTTTTGGGCCTGAGAAGGGAAGGGATTGAAGTCCCGGCCCGCTGCTTCTGGCAGTGGCAAAAACCGCCGCCACTGGGTGGAAGGGAGGGGAGAAAGGATCCGTTGTCTGGGGCTTCCCTGTCCACACCGGAGCAGGCTGTCCAGGGAAAGAGATGGAATCCCCGGGCCATTCCTTCTGGCAGCACAAGAACTGCCGCTGCCGGGTGGAAGGGGGTGGGGGTGAGAAGGATCCATTGTCAGGGAAGCCCCAAACGGATCCTTCCACCCCCACCCCCTTCCACCCAGCAGTGGCGGTTCTTGAGCTGCCAGAAGGAATGGCCCGGGGATTCAATCTCTTTCCCTGGACAGCCTGCTCCGGTGCAGACAGGGAAGCCCCAGACAACGGATCGTTCCCACCCCCACCCCCTTCGACCCGGCAGTGGCAGTTCTTGCGCTGCCAGAAGCAATGGCCCGGGGATTCAATCTCTTTCCCTGGACAGCCTGCTCCGGTGCAGACAGGGAAGCCCCAGACAACGGATCGTTCCCACCCCCACCCCCTTCCACCCGGCGGTGGCAGTTCTTGCGCTGCCAGAAGGAATGGCCCGGGGATTCAATCTCTTTCCCTGGACAGCCTGCTCCGGTGCAGACAGGGAAGCCCCAGACAACGGATCGTTCCCACCCCCACCCCCTTCCACCCGGCGGTGGCAGTTCTTGCGCTGCCAGAAGGAATGGCCCGGGGATTCAATCTCTTTCCCTGGACAGCCTGCTCGGGTGGGAAAACAAGGAAGCCCCGGACAGCGGATCCTTTCCCTCCACCCCCTTCCACCTGGCGGCGGCAGTTCTTGCGCTGCCAGAAGCAATGGCCCGGGGATTCAATCTCTTTCCCTTGACAGCCTGCTCCGGTGCAGACAGGGGAGCCTTGGACAGCGGATCCTATCCCCCCACCCCCTTCCACCCGGCGGCGGCAGTTCTTGCGCTGCCAGAAGCAATGGCCAGGGGATTCAATCTCTTTCCCTGGACAGCCTGCTACAGTGCCGACAGGGAAGCCCCAGACAACGGATCGTTCCCACCCCCACCCCCTTCAACCTGGCAGCGGCAGTTCTTGCGCTGCCAGAAGCAATGGCCCGGGGATTCAATCTCTTTCCCTGGACAGCCTGCTCGGGTGGGAAAACAAGGAAGCCCCGGATCCTCCCCACCCCCACCTCCTTCCACCCGGCCAGCTGATTGTCATGCACGCATGCGCACCAGTAACCCGCAGACTAGCTGGCTGGTGCGCATGCGTGCCCTGGAAACCCAGAAGAGGAATGGGTGATGCGACACATGCCAGGCAATATGGCTCTGCGTGCCACTTCTGGCACGCATGCCATAGGTTCGCCAACACGGGTCTATAATCAGGCCTCTAGCATAGGCTTTCATTGTATCCCAAAGGTTTTGCATTGATGTGTCTTCTTTTCTATTTTCTTTAAAGAAGAAGGCCAAGTCTTTCTCCATTTTCTGTGCAAAATCCTTTTCTTTTAATATTGTATTATTTAAAGTCCATCTGGATCTTCTCCTTTGTCCTTTCCATTTCATTGTCATTGGATTATGGTCTGTCCAGGTATTTGCTTTTATGTCAATTTCTTCTATATTAAAAGTCAATTCCCTTGTCATCCATATCATATCTATTCTGGACCATGATAAATGTCTATTTGAATAAAAAGTGTATTGTCTATTTTTTACATTTCTTTCTCTCCATATATCCTTTAGGTTTATTTCCTCTATCATTTTAAAGAAAGATTTCGGAAGTGTCTTTCTACTTTGCTTTATCGTCTTCTGTGTGTTGTAATCTAATTTCTCATTTACTATACCATTGAAGTCTCCCATCAAGCAAATATTATCATAGTCTAATTCAATTATTTTCATGTGTAATTTTCTACAGAAATCTTCTTGCTTATCATTAGGTGCATATATTGCTATTAAAAGTATTTTCATATTATTGTCTATTATTTCCACCATCAAAATTCTTCCATCTTCATCTGTATAAATTTGCTCCGCTGGGATTGTATCTCTAATGTATAAAACAACTCCTCTTTTCTTACATTGTGACAATGAGGTGAATATTTTCCCTAATTTTGGCTGCACCAATATTTGTTCATGTTGCTTTTTAATATGCACTTTTTGTAAACAAATTATATCAAACAAGAGCCTTGGTAGTACTAGGGTTTAAGGCACCCTGTTATTAAGCTGCTTAAGACCAGCTGCCTGCAATTACTGCAGGGTTCGAATCTCGCCAAGGCTCAAGGTTGACTCAGCCTTCCATCCTTTCTAAGGTAGGTGAAATGAGGACCCAGTTTGTGGGGGCAATAAACTGACTTTGTATAAATATACAAAAGGATGAAGGCTATTGCTGAGCACATTGTAAGCCGCCCTGAGTCTTCAGAGAAGGGCGGCATATAAATCAAATTAAAAAACAAAACAAAAAAAACTTTAATTTCTCTAGTTTATGAAATATCTTTCTTCTTTTAGTAGCTAAATTGAGTCCATTTATGTTTATTGTAATCATTTTTTTCTCTTCCATGTTTATATTTTATAAGAAGGGTTTATTGCTCTAGTAGATCTCGGTTCACGTTGCTCTTTGTATTCCACCTTGCCACCCACTGCACCTTCTTCTTTTTCAATCGTTGCTAGGCATTCCTCTTGTAATTCAGTCAGTGATTTTTCTCTTCTTATCTCCCCTTCTTTTTCTCTAAAGTATTCTACATAAAAGGCTTTTGCTTTATCAATTGAATCTATTCTGTATTTTTGTTGTTGCCAAGTAAACACCAGGCCTTCTGGTATCAACCATCTGTAGTTCACACTTTTCTGAAGTAATATTTTGGTCAAAAAATGATATTCTCTTCTCATCTCCCTCACTCTTCTCGGTATTTGCTTCAGAACCACAATCTCCTTATCCTTATATTTCAATGTTTTCTCCCTAATAATCTGCAGTATTTGCGTTTTAATTGATTTCTTAGTGAATCTTATATGGACTTCTCTTGGTAGCTTATTCTTCATTGCATATCTTGTAGACTCAAAATATCTCGTCTATACCATCCATCATTTTTTCTTTGGAAATTTCTAATGCTTCTGCTAAGTTTTCTATCATTATTTCTGCCAAGTTTTCACCCTTTTCTTCTTCTATATTTTGAAATCTGAGATAAAATTCTGATTTGTCCATCTCCCATCCTCTTCCACTCTTATCTTGTTCAACTTCGTCCAATCTAGTGTCAATATCTCTGATTTTTTTTATCCCTTTGTTCTTCCTTTTCTTCGATTTTTTGAAGTCTTTCTTCATATTTCTTCATCATTTGATGTATATTCTTCACTTTTTCATGTTTTTTTCCGTTCTTTGTTCAATTTTTTCCGATCTTTGTTCAATTTTTTCTGCTCTCTGCTCAATATTCTCTATTCTTGATTGTATGTTTTGAATTGCTTGCCAAATCATCTGCAACGTCGCTTCCTTTTCCTTCTCTTGTTCCTTCTCCTTTTCCTGTTGCAACGTCATCTGTATTGATCGTTGTCCTCCAGATGGTGAAGAGGAAGGAGTTGATGTAGAAGAATCAATAGCTGTGCCTTTTTGCTCATTTCTGTGAAGTGGTTATGAAAAGTTCAACAAATAAAAAATCTTCAGGTTCTTCTATACCTTAATCCATTTATATATAGGACAAATATTATCCCAAGTGGCAATAAGAAAAGGAAAACCCAGATAAAACCACAAGCAATAGAGGAAAGAAAAAAATCTTCAGGCACTTGTATGCCTTAATCCAATTAAACAGAGGGATATTAAATACCTTAACAATCTCTCCTCAAGGAAGGAGAAAAAGGAAAGGGGGAAAGAAAAGAAAAAGAAAAAAGTTCCAAAAAAGAAAAGGAGAAAAAATAAACACACACAAAAAAATCTATGTATGTGTGAAAAGTTAAAAATCTTCCAAAAAATCACAGTCCAGTTAAAAATAATTAGTGGAGAAGTGGAGAAGTAACATCAAAGAGAGGGAAAAAAAGAAAAAATATTTTTTCTGTCTGAAAGAAAAATCCACAACAGTATAATGCCCAACAATTCTTTTGTTACATCTCACATAATATTTACAGCTCTTTTTCCAAAGTCACTGTAATCTTCTTTTTTTCACAATCTCAGACTCTTGCCGTTAGAAGTTCCCCAGAAGAGCACCTGAATAAATAATCCTTCAAACAATATCTGATGCTCTTCCCACTATCGTTTCTATGAATAGGTTCAGAATCCTTGAAATGTAGCAGTTGTTACTTTCCAGAAAGGGAAAAAAAAAGAAAGATACAACACTAGATGGCAGTGTTAGTTATTTTCTCCACTCCACTCTCCCTTCCCTCTGCATCCGATACCCAATAAAATTAAAATGGAGAGAAAAAAAATAAAAGAATAGGACCAAAAATAACTTGTGCTAAAAAGGCACCAACATTTAGTAATTAAATACATAAAACAGAAATCTCCAATCCAAACCAGTCCAGTCCAGATTAAATAATAAAATTGTCCATGAGCATCCACCAGTAAAAGTAAATTAAAAAAATAGGGAAAACTATCTTAAGCTCAAGCTTAATTCCTCCATTTAATTTCTTATGTTTTCAATTTTAATTATCTTTCACCACAGGGTGTTCTTTCAAATAGTCTGATTTAAAAGGTCTCTCACCAAGCCGACACAATTTCTCTCATTCTCTTCCGTTCCGGAGCTGTCCCAATTTCAGGAGCTTAATGGTTGCCTCTTCACCGCCAGTAAAAAGGACTTCTCCTGGATCAACCAGGGACTTTGAGGTGTCCCTGGGATCGACAGGACGTGCCCTCCACGATCACCGTCTCTACGGGACGGTGAGGTCCAAAAAGGACCGCCCAGCGGTGGAGATGTCGACGGTGATCTTGGAGCATCAAGATCGTCTGTCATACCATCGCGACGTCAGCCCCGCCTCTTAACTCTTATCAAGCTTAACTCTTGATAAATACATATCCATGTCCAAAATGTTTATTGTACTCTAGCGTATTTTGAAAGGTTGTATTGATTTGTTCTGCTCATTATTGTACACTTTGGATGAACCATCAAAATATCAGTAAATATTGTTGTGTATTTAGGTACTAGATTTATAGGCTGCCTATCTCATATACATTTACTTAAATTATTTCCTAGACTTGTACCCTAAATCATACCTTGACTATAAGCAGAATTTTCCTGTTAAGAGCCCTTGGATATTCTAGTACTCAAATTTTAGATATTTAACAAAAATATCTAAAAGTTTTGCACAATAATGTTAATCAACAAATGTAACACATATGCAAAGGCATATTTATTTAGTATATATTAGCTGAAACCACAATTAAAAATTATATCAATTCCATTCTGTACTCAGACATATATTTGTTCAGTAGGATTAAGACCTAAATATACAATATATACAAACCTAAATATTGTTATGACATCATTTAAATTCATACCTCATTTAAACAATAAGTTATTTTTTATAGTTCTTCAGCATTCTATAAATATGTCAATTTCCTAACCATATATGATTCAGACTTTTGTTTCAATCTTCCAAGTTCCTTTTCTTACATTTAGCATCCTGATTATAACAATAAGAAATTGTTTTTCCCCCTTTTCTTTTCTAAAAGGAAAATGCTGCTTATATCTCACTTTTATCAATCTAGGAATATGTTTTTTCCTGCTTTCTAATCTTCCACTAGAACAAGAAAGATTGCTTTAATATGGATTATTTCAATACAATGCTCCCTATAACTCAAGTATTGAGATATCTCTCACCATCACTCAACAGCATTTTTTTTTCTACGAAGGAACTACCACTGGCCAATCACAGCGTCTCTGTAATACTTAGCTTTTATTAAAACAGTAGATATCCAGAAGTATGCCAGCCATTCCCAAATTGTATCTAATTCAAAACTGTCGTTTATTGGCCTTTCTCCCCATCTTCTCAAAGCAGATAATCCATATACTTAAATAACAGAGATATAAAAATCTGCATGCAATACCATCTAGGAACCAGTGAATCCAGATATTTACATGTCACTATAAAAATATTGAGAAGGTTTGCTTGTTACACTTCTGAAAATTATTAAAATTTTCAGCTTCTTCACTGATAAGTCTATTTCAGTTGCAGCACTGTTTAAGCAACAGCATCAGCAAAACAACTTATACTAGAACCATAAAAAAGCTGCAGACATACTTACCAGATTTGGAAGACTTTCTTTAAAGGTTTTGAGAGCAACATCAAGAGCAATTTTTAACCATATTTTATATTCCAGGGAAGGTGGGTCCAAAAATGTATCAAAAGCTTCAAACAAATCATCAATAGAGATGAAACATGTCTGAGGGAGAAAAAAGAATAAAGTAAGGCCATGAGACAATTACAACTATCATTGTACATTGGGCAACTGTTTTGACTTCAATTTCAACTTCTTCTTTGGCTGAACCTCACAAAATCTTGCCCTTTTCATACCCCCTGTGTGAAAAATGGAGCAAACATTGTGTGCCATCCTGTCATGAGATCTACTACACAATACATTGTACATTACAATAGCACATTGTAAGCCGCCCTGAGTCTCCGGAGAAGGGCGGCATATAAATCAAATTTAAAAAAAAAATACAAGCTGTATTTGTAATTGAGATAAACATGAGGTTTTCCACAAATGTGCATGCATGCACACAAACACACACAGACACATCGAGTATCTCAGAACAGAGTAGGAAGAAATTGAAATGGAATAAGGAGCTGGCAGGGGAAGCGCTGTTCTTGGACTAAGAAAAAATGAGAAGATGGCTAGCAAGGAAAGTTGGATTTATGTAGTTTCAGACTGCTGAAAATATGCAAGTTCCTGGATAATGGAAGATAATCAGAGGACATAAAGATCACCATGCAGGAAGAAAGACAGCATAACATTGGATGTCTACATGGCATAGATATCAGAGAGGAAGAAGAGGAGCCAAAAAGCAAAGTTCTGCCACTATGAGAGTTGCTTGCTGAATTTTAATTAAATTCTGGATTAATTCTCTAGGGAATTTGCATAACTGCTCACTTAACAAAAGCTTACTCAGGATGGCATTACTTTTTAGATCAAAAGTTGTGCAGAGCAAATAACAATATAAACAATTTGTCATATTCCACTTTATTTTGAAGTTAAAAATGGAGGAAGGGAAGGTGGAAAAGGATTTGCTTCTCTCAGCTTCAGGTTGGTTACTCTCTATCTTTTTCAAAAGTTATACAAACATGTTTCTTCCCTTCCCCAAATAGTCTCTCTTCTTTTGTATAACATGAAGTCAAAATGAATTGACAACCAAGTGGTTTGAATTAAATAGTCCTTCCAAGTAATCAAAGATTTTGTCTCTCACTGTCAGCAATCAAAATATACTCAGCTTCAATTTTTTCCTCCACTCTACAAGATTAGAGAATGGTGGGCGGGAGAGAAGGGGGCAAAAATGTCAAAGACAGAATTTAAAATGTTCATACAAACCCATCATCATCTGTTAGGGCACATATATAAATGTTTACAGATAAAGAACAAACAAAATAATGAGTGGTAAAATGGATGTAAATGTTTTAAAGAAATGTTTTAAAGAAACACATACAATAGAATAATGGGAAGAAATTATGGACTAAATCTATAAAATGAACACCAAGTTATAACTTAAAAGAAAGCTAGTACAGCTGGCATACAATTCCATTAATAATACCTAAGATAAACAAATCATACAGTAATAAATATTGGAAATGTCATAAAACATAAAGAATGTTTTATCACATGAGGCGGACATGTAAAAAAAGATTTAAGCCTCACATTGTAGAGTAAGATGGGCACAATATAATTTTAATAAAAATATAATATAAATAATGCAAAAATTTGAAACGGAACCACAACTTTTCTAACTATGTGTAATCTCAGAAAAAGTCAGCAAGAAGCATCATAATTTAATGGGATAAATGACATAATGAGCTGTGAGAATAAATTTTAGCCAAAACTGAAAGATACAATTTCAACAATATCTGATTGGGAACTTAAATTTGTAGAATATGCAGCAATGGCAAATCTAACTATTCATAACAGATGTTTAACCAAATTTAAGTAAGAAGGTGCCCCATACATAGAATACATTGTGCAGTATCACAAATATAATCACTTTCAGTCTAGTTTCTAAGAATAAAAAATTCTATTCTATTCTATTCTATTCTATTCTATTCTATTCTATTCTATTCTATTCTATTCTATTCTATTCTATTCTATTCTATGTGGGCCTAAACATCTATAAATATTGTATATTAGAAAATGTATAAAAAGAGGAAATTAGAAACCCAGTAGTTTGTATTCCTTTGGGGGAGGATTTTAATTGTTAAGTTTGCTTTGCTTATCTACTTTTTCCTTTTATTAACATGTAAAAAAATATGGTGGAGATCTTAGACCATAATTTTATTGTACAAAAATACTTTGATGCAATCTGAAGCAATTTTTTTGCCTAATGTTATTTTATTTATTTATTAAATTCATTTGCAATCCATCTTATCAGAGACCACTCTGGGCAGTTCAGAAATGTAAAATAACATTATATTCAATTCTGGATGAAAAATTGCTGGGCAATTAGGTGGTTGGTACACTACCAGCAGCTTTAGCTTCTTCCATACACAGGAACTCACATCCACTCATGTTCAGGGCACTGGCCCTTGCTACTGTGATCATTTCTCAAACTATAATGGTGCCCCTCTTCAATTTTTATGGCTATAGCAGTTGAAACTCAGCTGGAATTTTCCCAACAGGATTATATCCCTGTTGTTGTCCATCCAGGTCCCAGGGATACATGGAAGATCTGCATATCTTTCAAGAAAATATCATAAAGGGATGCAGACCTGGCTTTTAGCAACAGCAACTGGAGATCAAGGTGCTTGACAATTCAGCCATTGGCTTAGGACAGGGACAAATGGCTTAGAAGAAGGGAGATGCAGCAGTATATGTCTCCTTTCTCCTGCAGTGGGCTTCCCAAACTACTCCATAAAACAAAGGAATTAACTTTCATCATACATTCTTTACAAGAAACAAAATACGTCTAGGGAAGGAACCACTCAATGGCAATGTCTCAGTTCTAGATGGAAAAAACAATTCCCTAGAAATATATGTTTCTTCTCTGGTCATTGCCAATGCCGATATAATTTGTGATTAGCAAAGAGAGCAATCCCCAAATAGACAATATCTGAAAGTAATTATACATAGACTCTATATTATATACCTTTGACCAAAAATTTATATACTCCTTTTGTCTGGGATGGTCATTGACTTCCATTGAGCAAACGACTTTGGGAGGGACATACATGAAATGCTAAGGGACAAACACCAATGTAGCCTCCCTGATCTTTTGGATCAATATCAGCAAACAACAGGGTGATAGATGTTGCAGCCAGTTTGCCCTTTCATCCATAGCTAAGTAGGAAGCATGGAAAATGGAGAATCAGTTGTTTTTCTAATCTAGTTATGACTGCCACTACAAAGGCCTCAGGTAATTTCCTCAGCCATAAATTCTGTAACAACATTTTTGTATTTTTAAGAACAGTTTATCTGGCAAATATTAAGTGAATTAATTTTGTGCAATGGACACAATAATTGGCTGCTTTCTATACTGTCCCACACTGATATAATTTTATCTTTTCAACTTTAGGGCATTGGAGAAAATAGAAATATAATACAAAGCAATTGGTTAATTCAATATGCTTTGTTTAAAATTTGTTAAGATTTAAGTGATTTAATGTTAAGTATTTTAAATTCAGTTTTAAAACCTAAAATATGAACTACCATTATGAAACTTTTACATATTTTATATAATTACATATAATTTCTTATTAGTCAAAAACTTCAATTCTAATACTATGTAAAATCACTTTATAAAGTAGAATTCTCCAACCTGCACAGCAGTTTCACAAAAAATTCCATATTCCATTTCTTGCTTGGTTAAGCAATTGAGCTCTCCTATTACAGCTCCAGTCACAAAGTAATCTGTGTAGTGAGAGGTTACAGGTTTATGAATTCTTCTGTGAATACTTTTGTCACACTCTTTTTGATTATCTTTAGCTTCTGTAGAAACTCCATAAGAAGGGGCTTTACCAGAAACCTAGGTATAAAGAAACAGTAATAATTAAATTTAGGAAGATAATGAAATAATAATTTGCATGTACAAGTATAGGTTTTCATAGCTGGCATTGATGAAGTGATCAGCTTTTTAGGCTGGGTGTCGATGGTCTAGTTTTCTTTTGTTTTGCTGTTCCACCAGCCGCTGTGACTGACATCTTCAAAAGCAGAGTGGGCTGCTTTGTGGTGTATCTTTCATCAGTTAAAGAGAACTGAGCTAGGCTGACTGGGCTCTTATAAATGAACTTGGCAAGCTAATTTCTCATTGGTCCTTGTATAGGTGGACTTCTGATTAGATTATTTTGGACAATTCCAAGAGTTATGGTTCCTGATTGGACTGTTTTTGAGCCAGGATGCTGCTAGGTATTCTTTCTGGTAAGAGTCCCGCATAAGGAACCAATCAGCAGTCTGGCTCAAAGACAGGTTAATCAGGAACTGGTACTCTGGATTTCTTCAAAATGGACCAATCAGACAAAGAACTAATGAACAACCAGCTTTCTTGTCTATCCATGATCAGAGATCAGCTTGCCAGGATGCCATCACTGCTTCAATAATTTGCATCTGTTTCATTTCACTATTAACCTTTCAAATATATATCTGAGAGATACACTGCAGTAAATGGAGAAAGACAATTATAAAGCAGACACTTTTAAAATTGCATACTTTTTCCCCAAAGCATGTACCAATGTACCTATGAGACCAAGGTAAAGGTAAAGGAGTCCCTGCGGATTTTCCTCCGCTAGTTGTTGCTGACTATATGTGATAGAAGTGCTTCCACAATTTGCCATATTATGATAGAACCTGCATATGCAGTACACCAGCCACTGAAAATATTTCTCATATTTTGTTCAACTGTCAATTATATGCTCCCATTAGGCTTAAATACTTATCATCCCTATGGGAAAGAACAGCCCACTGGGATCTAAACCACATATTGTCATATTTCTTCCTGGGCTCAAATGTACATATCGTACACGAAACTGCTAAATTTATAACTAAGGCAGTAGTCCTAAGAACCAGATACATTGAGCAAATTGGCGTACTCTGTAAGGGAGATCCATTTATCTGATTACTGATGCCTTATACTAACACATATGTATTTTATTACTCTATTTCCTCCTATCTGTCTTATTCCAGAATTAGACTATGTTCTGTATTTTATTTTTATTTTTTAATTGATTTTATTGATAAGGTTGCAAGATTTATCAAGTTATAAGCTACTACTACTATGTACCAAATATTAAGAATTAATATTTTGTTCTCTTGTTCTATTGTGACAACAAAGATACCAATTAAATCTTACATTTGAGGTCATGGAATTAATTCTGATAGATGTAGATATAGATCACTACTTTTATCAAAAAATAATTTTATAGATACAGTAATCAAGGTGACAAAAAGGGCGTTCTTCCATATAATAGCAAACAAATAATTATCATAATCAACAGTCCAATAAAAATAAAATAAGTCTTACTGTTAAGGAAAGAAAAACACCAAATCCTCAGTTGAATAGCATCAACCAAATCCTCATTTTATTAGAATAAATTAAAAGAACAAAATGAGCATACAATTTTTTAAATTCATCAGACAATTAACAGTAGACAGGGACATCCAGTGAAGGGAGAGAGAGTATGTCAATAAAATCAAGAAGGTGGTTACAATGCATGATCAAAACCCAGCCCCTTTTTCAAATGCAATACATATACCATTAATTATATCAAACAATAATAAAGAACAAAGAAGTCTAAAACTTTGTCCCATACATTCAGTTTTCAAGTTAGGTTACAGACTAGTAGCAATTGAAAGTTACAAATTGTATACAATATTACTAACATTCTAAGTAATTAATTTCCTCATTCCCAGTTATATTCCTGGGTATTTGTTGATACCTATATCTTACCTTAACCATCCCTGATACAATTAAATGGATTCCTTGTGGCATATCGCCTTCTTCACATATGTAATCTCCATAATCATAATAAAGAATGCTTGCTTTTTTCTGAAAATAAAAATAAATAATATTGTAGAATATAGACTAAATACATTTCTAAGTGTACTGCCAGACATCCAGTAAGAAAAGTATTTTTTAGTGCTTTGAATATTTTAAGAGAGTAGCAACTGACAAATACATACAAAAGAATTTTAAAACTAGAAGCTAAAAATCAATGATAAATAAAATTTGTGTTAGTAAAATATATTAAGATATTAAAATTATGTAACTATTTAAATTTCCCATCCAGAAGATATCCACAATAAATTTGAGTACAAAATACTGGGGATTTTTGTTGGGGAAAAGATGAACTCCAAACTTTGCTCCCAGACATTGAATGATGGAATAACAGATGAATGTAAGAGTGGTCTGGGATTTGAAGGTGAAACCACTTGACCAGCTTGCACAACAATGGGGAAAAAACTCAACATATAACAGGTATCAAGTTTTTAAGATGACTGTTAAATGGGTAATGACTTCTTTCAAACTGAGACCATAGCCTCAGTTGTTAAAGGTGATCTACAAAGCATCTCCTTGGCATGGTCCTGTTGATATTTAACTTTTTAGAGTGTTTGCAATTACTGGTTGGCTGGAAGAACAGAAAACTGAGGCAAAACAAAACAAACAAACAAAAGCAAGCAAATGAAAATTGATGATGCCAAGGCATGCACCAAAATTACTATAACCAAATTCTCAAGGAGCAAAAAATCACTCTATTAGTCCTATTGAGAACTAATAGAGTAACACAGTACTGTTAGAAGGCTACGGTCCAGACCTTATAAAAAAATAAAATCTTGTATGTCAAAAATGTCTTACAGGCTGTCATAACAGAGATGCAAAAAGCTATTTCTTGATGGAACTGGAATATATATCTGATCTTGGTGGTGTAAAAACTCAAATGTATGAGTCATAAGACCAATCCCTACATTAGAAAATGATGAGTTCCCTGCAATGGGTTTGACATATAGATCTGAATGCTGTAAACCAGGGGTGTCAAACTTGGATGCATCACACGGTGGCCACACCCATGCCTGGTTTAGTGAAGGAGAAAAAGTCACAATATGTTAGGTGACAATGCTGTGACGACGCAAGTTTGACACCCCTGCTGTAGACCATAAATCCTATCTGTCACTAAAACTGCAACATTTCCCAAATGATGTGTGAAATGCCAAAGGGTGTCTTCCAGTCCTTTGTATTTTCATGCATTCAGGAAAGATCATCTGCCTATTTGTTAAAAGAAGGAATATAAGTGGTGATAAAGATGAATACAGGAAATACAAAGTTAGTATCTTGTTTCCTGATTAATTTCCATGCAGTCTGTGAATGACTTAGATACACACCTGAATCAGGAAACAACCTCTTTGAACAATGATGGCAGGACTTGAAGGCTTATTTAATTGCCAGCTTCCCCCCTTGCCCCCATTTGTTTAATTCAAATGTGCTATATTTTCTGAAGTGGTATTTAAGTCATTAGTATGTGGGGGGTTTTCAAGGTGACAAAAAGGGCATTCTTCCATATAACAGCAAATATATATATCACAAATACTTTTCCAGAATTTTCATAATAGCATTGGCTGGAAGATAAGGGCCTGTTTTAGGATGTGAAAACCCTGCAGAGTCTCTATTCTTTTGGATTTAAGACTGGAGCGAATTGGAAATTCCTTCTTCCTGGAAAAAAGGAGGATGAAGCTCCTGTAATAATTAGCAATTTTAAAAGCAATTTGTATTCTTCATGCAATACCTACTGTCTCTCTGAAGAGGCAACTGGATGGTAACAAGTACTGTGAATTGACTGGACTGGGTTTTTTCCCTAATTTGGCAAGGCTCATCCTGAAGCTGAGATAATTAGCAAGTGTTTATATTTACATTCATTGGAGAAGGGATTATAGATATTCCTTGTTTAGTGATCACAACTGGGGCCAGCAACATGCTCCTAGTGGTGCAGTAGTTAAAGTGCAATATTGCAAGCAAACATTGCCTACAGCCTGGAATTTGATCCTGATAGGACTCAAAGTTGACTCAGCCTTCCATCCTTTCAAGATCTGTAAAATGAGGACCCAGATTATTGGGGGTGATATGCAAATAATGCTTCAGCATTATAAACTGTCCAGAAAATGCTGTAAAGTGTTATGGGGCAGTATATAAGTCTTAATGCTATTGGTCATTAAGCAAAGCAATCACTATGCAAACCCATGACTAGGCTTGCAATCTTAATTCAGCTTTCTTTTGCTTTACAGATCTGTGAAGTTGCAAATGCAAGGACTGGTTGCAAAGTTACTTCTTCATCACTATCATAACTGTAAACACTCACTAAACAAGATAGTCACTAAACAAAGTCTATCTGTTTAAGAGCAAGCAGGCACACAATGGGGAATGCACTGGCACCATATATGCTGCAAGTTGTTAGCAAAAAGGGGAGACAAAAAAGTCTTTACTGTGAAACTGACTAGTCTTATCAATTTGAGATTGCAGCTACACCCCAGCCAGAAGGTTCTAATTCACTAATTAAGGTCATAGAGCTGAGCTTGTTAATTTGCAATTAGCATTTTTCAGGGGTGTGCAAGGCTGGAGAGAAAAGCAGCTCAGGAAAAGTTAGTTTGTTTAGACCAGTGGTTCTCAACCTTCCTAATGCTGCGACCCTTTAATACAGTTCCTCATGTTGTGGTGACCCCCAACAATAAAATTATTCCTAACACCATTGAAAATATGTGTTTTCCAACGGTGTTAGGCGACCCCTGTGAAAGGGTCATTCGACCCCCAAAGGGGTCCCGACCCACAGGTTGAGAACCACTGGTTTAGACAATCTTGCCACTGTGGGAGGGTGAAGAGAGAAAAATAGGCCAGGCATAGGACAACAGGTACTGACTATAATGGCGAACACATGACTTGAGAGAGAGGCACTGCAAGTTATAAATGCAGGTTTTGGTTGCAAAATTATTTTTCATCATTATCATAACTTCAAATGGTCACTGTCCAAGACAGCCTCTAAATGATGACTACCTATACTAGTTTGCTTGATCAGAAGGAAATTATTTTAGTTGCATGTGACTAATTCAGAGCTAGGAAGATAGCATAGTATTATTTCTCACCATGAATTTTTCTGGAACACCAATCGGAATTTTGCAGTAAAATGAGCAGCTTGTTATTGACTAAGCCTGTAAGACAATGACCAGAGTTTTCAGCTGAGTCAAATATAAGGGAAGTATCTGTTTTGGTTGTTGTAATTCCTCATTATACTGCCAGAATTGATTGGGAGTGGTTTGCCATTTAAGCTTCTTTGGCTACTGTTGCAGTAATGAACTCTAGCAAATTTAGATGGCAGATCTACCACGGAGGGAAAGCCAAGAGAAGCAGTGTGTCTGAGATAAACAGCTGCTTAGATAATGTAGTCTGAAGTTCAAAGCATTGATTTTAGTCTAATCCAAAGGAATAGTGAAGAAGAGATGGTCATAAGTCATCCTGTCAGCCCTCATACTTGGTTTGTGACATGGGACCCTCAGAAAAGAATGAGTTGAAACCAAAAACAAAGGCAGACAGTCTGCAGATTATAGCTCTTCTCCAGCTGTCCTCCAGTTCTGCCTCCAAAAGACTACATCTTTGCCCAAGCAACCTCAGTTGCCTCTTTCTGTTCCTTGAAGGTTTAGATTCCAGCAGTTCATCAACTTTGTGTTCTTTTAAAGTATACTGTTTATCTCCAGCTTTACTCCCACAGTTGGCTTAGTCACCACTGACTCTTGCAAGTCTAAAGAGATATCAAATTCTCCTTATCCAAGGATTCATAGAGGCACACATAATATTCCTCTTATGAAAGAAACCTGAATTCATCATTTCCAGCAATATTGTTTTAGATCTTCTCCTAAACTTGCTATTATCAACTCATCGTGAGTAGATAGATATGACAAGACCCAAAAAGTGAATGGGATCAGTTGTGGAAATGCCCATTACTCATTAATACCAATATATATTACATTCCTGAAATCTATTTGCATATCAAATAGAAAGCTCCTTATGCATTCTGGCATTACTTCACCAATGAAGAAACTATGTAACAAAATTAAGGATTTATAATTGTATGATCTGAGAGTCAAAAGTCTATTTAAATAATATATTCAGTGTTTAGAGAATGACACACATAGGATCTTCAATTTGTAATTTGGGATTTCTACGGCTTTACCTCCTGAGTTTCAGCCAGCATAGCTAATGTTAAGTGATGTGGGAATTGTATCTGAAGAATATCAAGTTGTCTATATGATTTATTGTATATATGTGGGGCTAAAAAAGTTTCTTCTTTTTTCAGACACTTGAAAGAGTGATTTCCTTTATTTATATACCAGCTCATTCCACATCAAGTTATGAAAGTGCAAAAAACCCCAAAATAATTGTAACAGTAATAAAAAAGAATACAATTAAAACCACCAACTCATCTCTTTAATTACTGTCATTAAAATGATTGTAACACGCATTCTGATGACACAGTTAAGTAAAAGCGTTTTTGAGCAGCTCAGTTTTTAAGACATTTTCAAAGATCAAGAACAATGCAATCATCCAAATATCTGATAGAAAGCTATTCCATAGGGTTGGTGTCAATGTTAAAAATAGGATGATGTTGGTTTCCCCTAGATCACAGGTGTCAAACTTGCAGCATCACGTTGCCATCACATGATGTATTGTGCCGGGTTTTCTCCTTTGCGAAACTGGGGTGGGTGTGGCCTGCACATGATGCATCCAGCCTGTGGGCCATCAGTTTGACATCCCTGTGGGTAGGTAGGAGTTAATTGATATAGATGGCCCTTAAGGGTCAAGTTTCATAAGGTTTTAAAGATCAGATAAGTACTGGAGTTTTGTGCTCTGGAGAAAGTAGCTTTCACAAGCAGGCTGCTGGATTTTGGACTAACCACACCTTCCAAGTCATTTTCAAAAGCAGCCTCATATAGGTGCATTGTAGTAATTTAAGAAGGAAGTAACAAACACACAAACCTCAAGTGAACAAGGGAGAATCTGACTAATAGTCATTTCTTTCATTCTGACATCCTCTACTGCTTAGAGGTGAAGATTAGATCTAATGTGTGACCACTGATATGCATTGGGCCAGATATTACCTGTGTGAAGCATCCAAAGCATCATTACCTGAATGTATTCTATCTGTTTTTTATTACCCTGAAGCCACACAATATTGCATAGAAGGTCATGTGCAGTAGGCGGGGCAATTGTAGGAGCAATTCCAAGCTGTTGTTTTCTTAAAAGAATCGCCTAAAAAAGAAGACTATTGTTATAATATATATTACCTCTTAGTTCTTTAAATTCATATTATTAGCAACCACTATGAAATTATTTCTACATTCTTAGGTCTAAGACATTTTGAATGATATAATTCTAAGGAGGTAAAATGGCTCTAAATCACATAGTATACTTTTCTGATTAATGCAGAGATCTTTTTTACAATGTGCTAATCATATTATAATTTCAAAAATTCCCCACCCCAAAAAATCCTGAGCTGCTGTTTTTTATATAGAATGTATTTTATACTACTCTCCAAGAACACTAGTGAGAACTAAGGTGAGACACATTTACCTTTAACTGTCATTGTCTGAGAGTATATATTTATGATGATCAAGTATATTTGTTGATTGTGAATCTTTCCAAAACTGCAAAGTTTTGAGTAGAAATATACCCCCATAGATAACCTTGGGTTTAGTTCCTCCTATGCCCTCAATTTCAACAACTGATACAGTAAAGGAATTAGAAATGGATTATATGGAAGAAGCCATAACTGAAGCCTGTTCTTTTGATTGGAAAAGGCTTATCTGCTAATTGACAGCAGAAGCAAACTGTAAGTACAATCCACCCAGAAAAATTAAGCTAACTAGAAAGTGTCGCTCTAGATCAGTACAATCTAAGACAGTAGGCCAAAATCCATTATGCACCAAAGACTGCCAGTTCATAGATAGGTTTAACAAAAACAGATTCATCTACAAGTAGGTTCAATTAACTATTATAAAGCAAAAGAAGCTTGATATTAGGGCAGAACTATCAATAATGTATGCCCATCAAGAAAACTTACAGTACTTGAGGAATTGTATCACCTCAATGGGACTAGCTCACCCCATCCATGTCGGCAGAATAGGCATGCTGCAGGTCCTGTCGGTCAAGAAATTCTGGCTATTGGGGTTCAGGAGAAGAGCCTCTTCTGCCATGGCTCCTGCCCTTTGGAACATCTTATTTGCCACCCTCCCTGCCCTCCCAAGGTGAGATCTGCTCCCACATATCAGTCTAGCCAAATCAAAGAGCATCCCTAAATTGCAGACCTGCTGTTTTGGGGTGTATGTGACACCCCCCTACAAATGAAGTTACTGGACAAACAACCACCCAGTTGTGCTAGAGTTCAATCTCAATTTGTTTTATCCAGTTCAATCTAGAGCAGAGGTATCAAACTCAAGGCCGCGGACTAGATCCAGCCCGCAGAGTGCTTAGATCTGGCCCACAGGGCTGCCCTGGGAACAGTGAAGGACTGGCCCGTGGTGCCTCTGCCTCTGAAAACGGAGCTCGGGAGGGCCACACTTGGGCCACCACAGGTATCCCTGATACAAGTGACATTGAGCTGGCCGTACCCACCCTGGGCATGCCCATCCCAGCCCCCGCAAGGTCAAACACAACCCTGATGCAGCCCTCAATGAAATTGAGTTTTGACACTCCTGATCTAGAGTCTTAAAATCATCAGACATCTATTGTTTGGCTCCAAGTAAAATGTATAATTGGGCAACTTCAGTATGATGACATATCACCTAAACCAATGAAATTTTTCTACCAGTTTTATGTAGATGTTAAATAGTATTTAAAAATGTGGACTACAAAGCAGACAAGGCATTCCAAATAGAGATACAAATGACTGGAAAATGGATTAAAAGATAGAGAAGAGCCAAAAGAACAACCCTGATAACACCTTTATTGGATACAAAAAAGAAATTGGCTAAACACTGAAAATCAAGACAATGACCTGACAATGGTTTTCCATTGGACTCACAAAAGAGGTCTATTAAATCTTCAAAAAAGCCTTTGTGATAGGAAAAAGATAACATCTAATGAATTAAAGATTAAGAGTGTTAGAAATAAAAGGAATATAAAAATGATTTGTTTGATCAAGGTGAAAATAAGACATATTTTATAAACTGTTTCAACTCCTACCCTCAAAACGACGCTATAGAGCACTGTACACCAGAACAACTAGACACAAGAATAGTTTTTCCCGAACGCCATCACTCTGCTAAACAAATAATTTCAATACTGTCAAACTATTTACTAAGTCTGCACTTCTATTGATCTTCTCATCATTCCCACCACCCATCTTCTTCCACTTATGACTGTAAGACTGTAACTTTGTTGCTTGTATCCTTATGATTTATATTGATATTGTTTCCTGATTGCTTATTTATACCCTATGACTATCATTAAGTGTTGTACCTTATGATTCTTGATGAACGTATCTTTTCTTTTATGTACACTGAGAGCATATGCACCAAAACAAATTCCTTGTGTGTCCAATCACACTTGCCCAATAAAAAAAATCTATTCTATTCTATTCTAAAGCTTTAGTAGTTCTGTACAAACTTTTTGCTGACATCAAGATTGAAAAGTTGATGATTTATAGTTTGCATGCAGAAAGAATGGGTTAAGAAGAAATTTCCTTGTAACTTTTTAGGGGATTATGAGTTATTAGATATGTTTTTACTTGTTCTAATAAAGATTGTTAGTCACTTCTTTACATATTTCTTTTTTTTAATCCAGTTCTTTGCTTTTCTCTATTTTCCATTATTATTATTATTTTCTTTTTTTGGCACTTTTATTCTTTCTTTCTTTCTTTCTTTCTCTTTCTTTTTTTCTGAGTTTCATTTGCTTTTCATTTGTTTTTATTATGTTACTTTATATATTTAATAAAAAATAAAATTGGGAAAAAAGAAACACATAGTAGAGAAACAAAATGTGTACTCAGTCCAATTCACCATACTGTGTACCTAGAAATCTTAATGATCCCAATATAATGCTTAAGATTTCTAGAGTTTATCTCATTGAAGTGTTTCCAGATCCGTTATCTAAGCTATTTACAATCCATCATGGCTGGAACAACTGGGAAGTTTAATTAACTCTCAGTTTCTTCTTCATACAACAAAATTTGATGATGGGGTATCATTATATCATAGTGTTCATTATGTGATAAATCTCTTCAGAGTGCACAATTAAAATCTTTTATGAAAGTAATATTAAAATAGGAAGCAGAAGCAGTGGTTACAGGCTATAATTAGGCACACATCAAAGAAAGGTGGAGAAATATCTTCAAGGAATTTTTAGGTCACAAAGAAGCTCAGAACTGAGCTCAGGTTCCAGATAACAGTAGGAGCAATTTATATTTGCCTGCAAAATTTTGGCAGAAATCTGTGTGAAAAGTAAATATGCAACCATTTAATGTTCTCAAAATTCTTTCAATGAAAATTTATCCATATGACGTTAATGAAAATATTGTTTACTTTTATCTCCAATGTTCTATTTTTAACATTGGAAATCCCAATATCCAAAATTTGTATATATAATTTAATTTGAATTTGAATTTGAATATTTGAATATATAATATAATTTGAATTTTTCTATATTAACAGAAATATCTTATGTTTCATATATAATTTTGTTTGAATTACCTTATGTAATTCATTTCCTTCATTTTTATCCACAATTCCTCCTGATATCATAAATTTAAGAGTTTCAAAAGCTGTATTTAGCACGGTTTGAACTGCTTGTCTAGTTTTCACAGCAATGACAATATCTGGATAGTCACGCTGCATTAATCCTAAAGTAAACAAAAATATTTTTTCATACAAGAAATGATAAATGCTATTCAAAGTGAAAGAAAACTGCTTAGGAGTAAATCCCCCCTCCCCAAGACTAGCAGCAACTGCAGCTATGGAGATATGCACAAATGGATCTGAGAAATCATGCCTATAAAGAATCTCAGTTCTAGAACATTCTGAACAAGGTTCTGAATAAGTGCAGAATACCATTCACATGATGTGCAGGATTACAAATATGTTAATACAGCAAAACTCATTAAATTACACTGAAGGACAGAGAACAAAAATATAAAGTATTATTTTTCGGAAACTTTCAGAAAATTCAGAAAATTCTTTGCAGGAGGTCCTCATTGGATTAAAAAATAAAAACCAACTAAAAGGACTAGCACATATGCGCTAGTCATTCCCGACTCTAGGGGACAGTGCTCATCTCCATGGTCATGTGGCCAGCACGACTAAACGCCAAAGGCACATGGAATGCTGTTACCTTCCCACCAAAGGTGGTCCCTACTTTTCTACTTGCATTTTTTACATGCTTTCGAACTGCTAGGTTGGCAGAAACTGGGACAAGTAATGGGAGCTCACCCCGTTACGCGGCACTAGAGATTTGAATTAGAAGTAATCAAATAATTTACTCGGATCACTATCAATTTCTCCTGTATGAAACAAAAGTCTTAGGAAGAATAATGTTCTCCTTTAGAGAAAAAGCAAACATGCAATAAAAAAATGCACTTTTTTCCTGGGTTGAACATTTCATTATCATTAGGTATGTCTGCACAGTAAAATCCAAGGATACTTATAAAGAATCCAGACACTACAGCTGCCAAAAGTGGTATCCACAGATAAAAATACATCTATTTTATATTGCTTTGCAAATATATACAGGAAAGTTGAAGTGCTTCTTTATATAGGTAGTCCTCGACTTACAACAGTTCATTTAGTGATCGTTCGAAGTTACAATGGCACTGAAAAAAGTGACTTATGAATGTTTTCACATTTATGACTATTGCAACATCCCCATGGTCATGTGATCAAAATTCAGATGCTTGGCAGCTGGTTTGTATTTAAGATGGTTTCAGTGTCCTGGGATCATGTGATTCGCTTTTGCAAACTTCTGACCAGCAAAGTCAATGGAGAAGATTCACTTAACATTTGTGTTACTTGTACTAACTTAACAACTATCGTGATTCTCTTAATAACTATGGCAAGAAAAGTCATAAAGTGGGGCAAAACTCACATAACAAATGTTTCACTTAGCAACCAAAATTTGGGGCTCGATTGTAGGAATAAGTTGAGGAGTACCTGTATAAATCTTATCCATTCATGCACTGTCTCTACCCATAGTTGAAGAAAAAAAGTCTCTGCATAGAGAAAGCAAAAAACAATTTTACAGCTGAAAACTGGTAGAAAATGAGATTTAAGGGCAATGATTGCCCACTCTAAACATCAGCATAATTTAGCCCCTCGGTGTTTTTTAAAATAAAACTTTGTATTGTTTTTTAAAAAATAGAAAAACAAAAAAATGTGCATTATCAAAAAAAATCACAAATATGTAAAAAATACGTGAAAAATACAAAAAAATTAAAACGCAAGATAGAAAGTATGTGTCCTTATATATTTATACAAAGCTTTTTTAACCTACACTATTTTGTTATATTTTGTTTCTTATTTAGTTCCTCCCCTTTTTAATATTGCTGATGTGATTACATAATTAGAGCAATCTTATCATGGCTTTAATAGTTAAGTATTTGCTATCCAAAACAGTATTTCAGTTATGTAGAATGTTAATAAGAATTAACTGTAAATATTAATCAGGGATATTTAATTGAATGTATTTCTGGTTCTTCTACAATGTATCAGCTGAGGGAACTCTCTGAGATAGATATTTATGCATCCCAAAATAAATGGTGATTTATGTACTCATCCAGTGTGCCAATAAAGACTATGGAATTTAAGACATTGATAACTGCTTCAGTCATGCAGATAAACTTTCTTTCCATTCCTTTTTCTTCTTTCATTTAGGAACTACTTAAAAAAATGCAAATGAACATTGCATTAATAATGGCAACCCAGGTAGTCCTGGTTGCTATTATAATTCCAAGACACAGAGGTCAGTAAGCAGAAAGTATCAAGGAAAGAAACATGTGGTTCTGCAGGGAGATGAGGGAGCTCCTGGTATGCTCAAAGCAGGTCACAAACAAGTTGGAGGAGGAGGTGCTGCAGGTACATGCATGCAAGCATAGGGAGGTCCCAAGAAAGAAGGACACAGGGCATAGGGAGGTGGGGAGGACAATACAGAGTGACTTGCCACCTTCCCTGCTGGCTTCCCTACTGACTGCTTGTGGGAAGTCAGCAGGGTAGGTCAGAAATGGCATCACATGACTGTGAGACACTGCAACCATTTAAGTATGAACTTGTTCCCAAGCACCCAAATTGAGTTCACATGATTCCAGGAGTGTGGCAACAGCCAGAACTTCAAGGACTGTTTGTAATTACCCCTCATTCAGTACTGTTACAACTAAACAATCCCTGAACAGGAAAGCTAAGTTACTTGCTTTCACTTAGCTGTGACTTGCACAGATAACAACTTGAAGCACTGCAATCAAAATAAGCAATGTTTTCTATACAGGTAGTCCTCAACTTACAACTATTCATTTAATGACTATTCTTAGTTACAATGGCAATGAAAAATGTGACTTAAGACAAGTTGTGTTTTGCACACAACTGTTGCAGCATCCCCATGGTTATGTAATCAAAATGTGGACTCTTGACAACTGGCTCATATTTATGACAGTTGCAGTGTCCTCGGTCCAAAAGGTGATCATCTTTTGCAACCTTCTGACAAGCAGTCAAGGGGGAAGCCAGATTCACTTAACAACTGTATTCTAACTTAACTGCTTAACTTTGGCAAGAAAAGTCATAAAATGGGGCAAAACTTACTTAACAACTGTCTTGCTTAACAAGGGAAATTTTGGGCTCAACAGTATTTGTAAATTGAGGACTACCTGTAGTTAATGTGCAGTTTCATCTGGGGCTGAGCAAGATATAAAGTTATTGAAGCCAGAGTAAATGCACAGGAAATCATGGAGCTTACTACTGTCTTTCTGATTGTCCTTGCTTTGTGTAGCTCGTTCATGTGCATAGAAAATGCTATTTCAGCTTTGTAAGAATTAACAGTATGGAAATTAAAGTTTCATTAATAATAATGAAAACAATATTAAGTCATAATGATAATCTCTTTACATTCATACCTAACTCTTTCATGGCTTCTTGTTTGTTCGTTTCCAAAATTTTGCTAATTGCCTGTTAAAAAGAAATATGTATTTTATATTAATGAAATTATACATGGCCAATCAAGATCATTTTCAATCGTAGCACTCTTCCCAAAAGGCTACAGAGCACAATGACTCAGCTCGGTTTCTCCCTCCCCCTTCTGTCTTTTTTACTCCCCATGATGTTTTTCATGTATGGTATTTTTTACATTGTTAGTGACTAAAATTATTTTTAAGATAAAGAATGCAATAGAGTATTTAAACAAATTGTCTACAATGATCTATATCTATTATTATTGCAAATTAACTTTAAAACAGACTTCTCCTAGAACACACACAATTTCTGCTAGAATAACACATACACGCACATACAACACAAACACTTGTGTGAATCACAATCAAGACTATGAGGGGAAATAGTGAAGAAATTCATGTATTAGTGCTTAGTTTCCACAATGGGTATGCCCGGTACTTATCATTTTAAAGAAATGAATATACTTATTCATTTCTTTAAAATGAATTAATTGGAAATAATTGGAAGATAAGCGTTTTCTTGCCCTAAACAGGAACTTCAGACAGTACCTCTCTGATGGAAAACAGAATCAGTCTGTAGAGTTTATCAATAACATAAATGAAACCAAACTGCTTTTTAAAGGTTCAGTCCATGTTCTTGGTCATTTTAACTTTTGGCTTGTGTATTCATATATATTATGTTACAACAATGCATTATATAACAATGTTTTTGTGATCTGAATATATTTTCAAAATAATCCTTTATAGAACGTAAATAAAGAATGATATGACAAATACTTCTTCTCTTTAAATATATGGCTATTTTACTCACAACATAAACTTTCTCGTGGCCAGCAATCTGTCCAATTAAACATTTTACATCTTCTTCACCTTGAACATATCCTTTGGCAATATCGTACCGAAAAGTGAGCTGTTTATTTATTTGTTTATTCAACAAGAAAATTATTTTGGGTATCATTATCTGAAATAGATAACATACTAAAAATTGGTATTTTTTTTCTATACCCTTTTGTGTATCATCCTTTCCATCAAAGCTACTTCTTTGTCCATCTGCATACCTTATCTCACTCCACCATAAAAACTATATTTCTATTAATTTTCCATTTCACCTTCCCAACTTCCAACGTTACTTTATCTGCTTTCTTCACAGTAATACTAATTTACTCAGCTTGGCTGTTCTTTCCTGATTTCCCTATTGCTTTCTTCAGATTTTTCTAACTCCCCATAGTAGTGATGTTTGCTGCATCTCTTCATTTTTTTCAAAACTACCTTTCTTATTTCTATGCCTTTCTACTATTATATTTTTCAGTTGAGAAAAAAAAGGAAACAGAATACACAAATAAAAGATAATGCTATCTGAACATCATCAGTTAAATTTAATGAATGAGGCAAGGGAACTGTGCAATAAATGCCTTTTCTGGAAACACTGTTGGTATCAAATTACCGTATTTTTCGGAGTTTAAGATGCTTTGGAGTATAAGGCACACATTACTTTTTGGGGAGGAAAACAAGAAAGAAAAAATTCTGCCTCTGCCTACCACCACCCATCAGTATGTTAGTGTCTAGTGTCCTTGCAGCAAACAGCAAACAGCCTGGTCAGCTTCAGCACGTTATCGCAGCCTGATTCAGCATGAGCAGCTGAATCAACTGTTCCAGGCTGCGGGGATCGCCACAGCCCATTGCCGCCTCCACACATCGCATTTTTGGCCTCTGCGCATCAGATTTTTGCTCTCCACATGTTGCATTTTCGCCCTCCATGCATCGCATTTTTGGCTTCCGCACACCCATTTTTGGCCTCTGCACATTGCATTTTCAGCCTGTTCCAGGCAGCGGAGATGCCACCACTCTCGCCACCTCGAACGGGCCAAAAACACAACATTCAGGGGCCAAAAATGGGGTGTGCAGAGGCCGAAAACACGACACGCGGAGGCGGCGATGTGCTGTGGTGATCCCCACAGCCTGGAACGGGTCTAAAATGGAGAGTGCAGAGGCCAAAAGCAGCCGAAGGGTGGGGGCTGGCAGGTGGGCAGGTCTTCAGCAACATTAGCTGTATAAGATGCACAGACATTTTCACCCACTTTTTTGGGGGGGAAGTGTGATTTATACTCCAAAAAATACAGTACATTGGGCATTTTAAGTCATAATTATCACTTTGACTTATGCCTTGAATAACCATAAGTGAAGTTGATGAAATAAATGAAGCTGCATTTGGCTTGCACACACTCAATATAATTTTTTATAGGGAATGCTGTTGAGTCTCATATGACTCATATGACTTTGATTTTGCATTTTCTTTTAACACCTGCTTGTTTTTAAGTCTGGGAGCTTGAGAATGTTTTGAAAGGGCTACAGAGTGATTGTAAGGAAGGGCATTGGTAAATAAAGTTATGGAGCAAATTGGTTTGTAGACTTCTGATGAATGACTATGAAGGAAAATATGTGTGCACACTTACATGAAGATGGAAAGAGCAGATTAGAAATTATTTAGATGAGAACTGAGAGTGAAATTGGGAATATTCAAAAGAGAGCCTCTGATAAATTTGCAGTATAGAATGGGTTTGCCAAAAATGAGTAGGTGCCCCTAAAAAAAAGATTTAAATACAAAGAAATGATTTAATGTAACAGAAACTGGATCCATTCTGCTTTGGGTTACTCAACCTGATAAGAATTATGCTATGAGAAATGTAATTCCATGGAATTCCTTGTAATCCAATGTATTTAATTAAAAGAAAAGCTTATAGAAAAATCTTGTCCTTTTTCAGTTTAGAAAAAAAAAAACCCAGCCTATGATTTTTCTTTTTCTAGATAATTCTCTTCAACTATTCTCTTTCACTATTTGGAACTATCATTAAGTACAATAAAATAAATAAATAAGTATTGGAGAGCAGACAGCTTTATGCAGCAGAACAAATGCATGGAGATATTCTAAAATAAGGATTAAACGTTTGTAAGATAGCATTCTTGAGACAGGTACTTGGATAAAAAAAAATATGAAATACACTTCTTCAGGAAATAACATGGACATAATTAAGTCTACTCATACCAAAAGCATACAGTATGCTTTTTTCCACTATGGACAAATAGGCATTCAGGTAAATATTGAAACACATAGATCAGTTTCAGATGACAAATAGAATTGAAGTAAGATAGAAAGGAATGAAGAAAACTCTAAAAATACTAATCTAACCAACAGGTCTTTGTATGTAGAGAAATGCAAACTAAAGTTTTTAGACAAGGGGATGAGAAAAATATGCAGAATCTCTGTAATTACCTCTACATTTATTGTTCCTATTAGTCAGTAAATTTATAGGAGGAGAAAAATAGTGCCGTTTTCCCCAAAATAAGACATCCCCTGATATTAAGCCCAATTGGGCTTTTGAGCGCATGGCAATAAGACCAAGTGCTTATTTCAGGGTTCAAAAAAATATAAGACAGGGTCTTATTTTCGGGGAAACACAGTACAGGCAATATTGAATTCTAATATTGTCTGCCCATAAGAAGAAAAACATTCAGCACATAAGTGCAAGAGAAAACAAACAAACAAAAAAATCCAGATGTGGGAAATATTCTCTTAAGGAGATTCCTAAAGTAAAAATGTAATATATGAATGTGGCTTTCAAAATATGATTGCACTTGATTTAAATCTATTTTTTTTCTCTTTTTTCCCTTACTAAGAGATGCAGACACATCTCATGAAATATCCATTTTTGCTTCTTTGCTTTCTAATGTATTAAACATTAGAAATCAAATATTAGTAGGAAAGTATAAAATGTCACTAACCAAACTAGCTGGCTATCACAAAATGAGTGATGACAATATTCTAATACTGTATAATATGCCTCCCAAAACCTAACACCCAACTGATAAACCAAAGCAGAAAACAAATGTCTTTATATCATTTCAGATTCAAACTCTCACAAATACTCAAGACATATGAACAGATGACACTATCCTTTTGTGGGCATTGTTTTCATGAAGCTTATAATAAAAGAAAGACAGAGACTGTTGAGAAGCATATTCAGTGCATCTTCATGTTCTGTGAATAAAATCTGGTAGTACATCGAGCCTTTCCAACCTATGAACTCCATAAGTGTTTGGTCTGTGCTCCGAAATTAGCAGAGAACACTTTAAAAGAATTTAATTGAACAGTCAAACAATCAAATGCTTACAGTCAATAAGCATAAATAAACAATAGACTAAATGGATTTAATATTTTAATATTTGTAATATTTATTTTTTTAAAAAATCTGAAACAAACGAAAACCTCAATTTTTCAACAATAACATCATTATGTTTACCTTTAAGAGACGCAGAACTCTTACAACACGAAGAAACCGTAATATCCTGATAGTATAAATAATAGCATATGTTGGGCTAATTGCTTTAATGACATTGATAATTACAACATCTATAATTCCAATGATTATGATTACTACATCAAACTGGTTCCAATGATGATGGAAATAGTTCCTCCCCACTGCAGACAACTGTTAAAAACAATACAATGATACTAAATAGATGGACATTAAATGTAAATATCATGAGACTCATTTTAAGTTATATATTTGTACTTGAAGTTACTGTACAATAAAAATTATCACATACCAGTAAATGCTATAACAGTAGGATTCCAAATGACAGAGCATTTGCAGTTTTCCATTTTGAAGAGTGGGCTCCTGCATCACTACATAACCCACACATTATCATTTATTAAATTTATGTGCTGCCTGACTTCCAGCAATTTTGGGAAGTTTACAAATGATTTAAAGCATGAGAACAGGGTAGGACTATCTTGGAGAAATCTTGTTCCAGAAACACATGTCCTTACTGGGTCCATGTCCACACAGAATGTGATGTTCAGTGAGATAACTCCAGGGTTTGTCCCAGGCACAATACTCTTCAACATTTTTATAAATCACTTACATAACATACAGAAGACACTCTCATAAAATATGCAGATGATACAACTTAAAGGGGATTGTTAACACTCCAGAAGACAGGCTCAAAATTCAAAAAGAATCTGATATACTTGAAGATTGACCCCTATTCCACAAAATGTTCAGAGGTGAAAAATGAGAGATTTTTTTTTTTTAAATTTGATTTATATGCCGCCCTGCTCTGGAGACTGAGGGCGGCTTACAATGCGTTAAGCAATAGCCTTCATACTTTTGTATATTTATATAAAGTCAGCTTATTGCCCCCACAAACTGGGTCCTCAATTTACCTATCTTAGAAAGGATGGAAGGCTGAGTCAACCTTGAGCCTGGTGAGATTCGAACTTACAGTAATTGCAGACAGCTGGTGTTAATCACAATGCTGAGCCACCAGGCCCTGTACAGTGCCCTTTTGCACTTAGATAGGAAAAAACAGCACACAACTACAAGATAACTATCTTAGCAGTATTACTTGTGAAACAATCTGGATATCTTAGTACATCACAGATTAAAAATGAGCCAGCAATGTACTGCAGCTGCCTAAAGAGCCAATGCATTTTTGGCTGCATCAATAGAGATGTAGTATCAAAATCACAGAAAGTGACACTACCAGTCTGTGCTGCATTGGACAGATTACATCTAGAATACTGTGGTCAGTTCTGGTCACAATTCAGAAAGGTCACTGAGGAACTGAAAAGAATACAGATAAGAGCGGCAAAGATGGGAAGGGCCTTGGAGGCTAAATCCTACAAAGAGCAATGAAAGGAAATTGCCATGTTTAGTCTAAAGAAAAGGCTAAGAGGAAACATTAACAGCAGCCCTCAAATACATGAATGGATATCTCAGGGATTCATTCTCCACAGCACTTGAATATAAGACAAGATCATTTGGGTGAAAATTTTATTGTGAAAAATTCAAATCTGAAATAAGAATAAATATCCTGTGAAAGCTATTAAGCAGTGGAGCATCCTACTCCTCAGGTGCTCCATCGCTAGAAGTTTTAAAGGAAAGATTGTACAGCCATTTCTTTGGGGTAGATGAGGTATCCTGCACCATGCAGAGGATTGGCATAGAAGAGCCCTCAAGTTCCTCTCAACCCTATGATTTTATGATTTTGTTACAGCAGACCTGATGTAAAATAGTATTTCCAATTCACATCTCAGACATTCAGAAGGGCATTGTGATCAACACATACTGAAAAATGTAAGAAAATAAAAAGTTATATTCCCCTTTCTCTTTTGGTAAAAGTCATGTCCCGGTGAAATGTATGTCTCAAAAAAGATAAAAATAAAGATTTCCCCTATCCATATCTGACTCTAGGGGGCAGTGCTTATCTCCGTTTCTTAACTGAGGGAGCCAGCATTGTCCGAAAAAGTTTCTGCGGTTATGTGGCCAGCATGACATCATACCGCAGAACAGAGCATGTGGTGAAACACATGCTGTTATCTTCCCACTGATATGGTATTTATTTATCTACTTGCATTTACATGCTTTAGAATTGCCATGAGCTGGGGCAAGAATAGCTCGCCCAATTGCATGACGCTTGCGTCTTGAACCTAGGCTGTCAGCTTTCCAGCTGACAAGCTCAGCTTCTTAATAGCTGAGCCATCATGACCCCTTATGTCTCAAAACAATGTCTAAAATTACAGTAAAATTGATTCAGAAAATAAATACCATTTGCAAATTTCTGTCCCTATCAACACTGATTAGGATCGGCCTTGGAGGAAGGAGGTGAACCAGCACAAAATTATGCCACTCACCCTCAACTCCCTAAGGATACCATGGTTGAGGGTATTGAAAGCCACTGAAAGATCAAGAAGAACAAGTATGGGTGCACCATCTTAATCCTCCTGTCAAAGATCATCCATAAATTGCAACCAATGCTATTTCTGTCCCATATCTAGGCCTCCTGAAAAGGGCAGATAATCCATTCCATCCAGGATCCTCTGAAATTGCATCACTATCAGCTTCTCAACCACCTTCCCTAAAAAGGGAAAATGAGAGACTAGACAAAAATTTGCCCAAACAGTATTTGGATCTTGAGGAGGTGGCATACTAGCGCTCTTTAAAACGTGCCAAAACATCCCCATTGTAGCCAGAATGTATTATCCTTCAATCTGCATTCCTGGTAGATTATCAGCAGGCTCTGAATATTCTACATGACAAGGTTAAAAATTGTTCCTGTAACTACACCTTCTCTGACCAAACTAAATAAATACAGTAATCTTGCCTCTTTTCTAGGAAGTTTGGCCTAGGAAGCAAAGGGAATAGTATCCTAATGGCCTTTTCCATGGAACTCTGGTTGACAGAAACTGAACCTCTATTTTAGGAGGCTATTTTTTCAGGACAGGTGTCAGCAACGTGCGGCTCCAGAGCCACATGCAGCTCTTTTGTCCCCCTGCTGTGGCTCCCTGCCGGCCGGCTGGCTGCGCTCCTCACCCTCCCCTCCCAGTCACTTCTTGCATGGCCTGAGAAGGTAAGGGTGACAGCGGGGATGGAGACTCGCTCCATATTCCAGAGCAGGAGGAAAGCACCCCTGTACTTGCCTCTCATCTCGCAGGCACTTTCTCCAGCGCTCCTTGGTGCTGCACACACCTCGGTCGTTCGGGGAAATGCATGAGTTTCTCTCTGCCATGAGACACTGGCCCAGCTAATGCTCCGTGTTGTAATGGGCTCCAGGAGGAGGAGGGGACGCCATCTTTCCCATTGTGAAACGTGCTAAATTTAAGTGTGTTGCGCAAGGAGCTGCGAGCAGGCCATAGAGGTGGCAAGAGCAAGTTGCAAGTCTAGAACACTGGTCCAGCCCAGCTGCAGCTGATGCTGCTTCTCTCATCACCTCCATGACCTGCTCACTGTTCTTGCACCGCCTTGCGCAGCACACTTAAATTTAGCACGCTTCACAATGGGGGAGACAGCGTGCTCTCCTCCTCTTGGTGCCCATTACCACATAGAGCCTCGGCCGTAGCCAGGCTGGGCCAGTGTCTCAGGGCAGAGAGAAAGTCGAGTGTCTCCCTGAGCAACCGAGGTGCGCGTAGCACCAAGAAGTGCCCACGAAATGAGAGGCAAGTACAGGGGTGCTTTCCTCCTGCTCTGGAATATGGAGCGAGTCTCCAACCCCGCCGTCACTCTTACCTTCTCAGGCCATGTGAGGAGTGATGGGGAAGGTGAGGGGCGGGGCCAGCCAGCTGACAGGAAGCCACAGCAGGGGACAAAAGCGCTTCATTTATCTGGGAATCTGAAATGACTCTTGATTTAAATCATATGGTAAAAAACACCGAAAGAAGAAGAAAGAACATCAGCAAAAATAAAAAACACCCAACCCTTGCCTGTTTTTGGAAATGGTTCAAGAGAGAACACACACACACACACACACGAGAGAGAGGGGGAAAGAGAGAGGGAGGGAAAGAGAGGGGGGAAGAGAGAGAGGGAGGGAAAGAGAGATAGAAGAAAAAGGGAAAAAGAGAGAAATGAGAAAATGATGGAGGGAGAGAATGAGAAAGAGGAAAAAGAGAAACAAATGAGAGAGAGAAGGGAGAGAGACACAGAAATGAGAGAGCTGGAGGGAGAGAATGAGAGGGAAAAGAGGGAAATGAGAGAGAGAAGGGGAGAGAAAGACAGAAATGAAAGAAGAGGGAGGGAGCGAGAGGAAGAGGGAAAAGAGAAAAACAAGAGAGAGGAAGGGAGGGAGGGAGAGAGGGACCCAGTTCCCACAGAAAACACCCGGAGCTACAAAACTTGGGTAGGTGTGGCTGGGGATGGTGGTTATGTGACTGGGTGGGAGTGCCGTTGAGTTGGCCACGCCCACCCAGGTTTTGTGGCTGCCAGTGTTTTCTGTGGGAAATGGATCCAAATGGCTCTTTGACTGTTTAAGGTTGTAGACCAGGGATGAAATGCTCCCTGTTCAGAGAACCGGTAGCAAAAATCCCTGCGCGCCCCCCCCCCTCACCATGCCCAGCTGAGCCGCACTATCGTCAGAGGCTTTTTTTTTTTTTTTACTTTTAAAAGCATTTTTTCTACAACTTCTTCTGCCGAAAAAATGCTTTTAAAAGTAAAAAATAGCCTCTGATGATCATGCGGCTCAGCTGGGATCTCAGAGGCTTTTCAAAGCATTTTTTTCTGCAACCTCTTCCGGGGAAGAGGTGGTTAAAAAAATGCTTTGAAAAGGCTCTGATGATCAGGCAACACAGCTGGGATTGTCAGAGCCTTTTCAAAGCATTTTTTTGCATTTGCAGAAAAAATGCTTTGAAAAGTTAAAAAAAAAAGTTGGCCATGCCCACCCAGTCACATTACCCCCCCACCAAGCCACGCCCACAGAACCAGTAGTAACGAATTTTACATTTCATCCCTGTTGCAGACCCCTGTTCTAGGAGATAAAGATTTTTTTCTAGCTTTTCAACTTAAAAACCAAACACCCTAATTTGTGATTAGAACAAGTGATTAGAAATTAGACATGAATTGACCAATGTCCTCTTCTGTTCAGCTTTGTGCCAGCTTAGTTCTAAGAAAGTTTCTGAGCCTTCCTTATGGTACTCTTGCTACCTATTTTAGAATGAAAGTAGGCCTATCCTCAATCTCTGTTAGAATTCACCTTGCACTGTTGAGGAACAAAAAATTAGAAAGCTTTCAAAAATCTCATCATTAAACTCTGTTAATTGTACAGAAAGTCTTTGAGTTTGAATTGTGATGGAACCTGCCCATCAGAGCCATAACTCAGGAAATTGTAAATTGGGTCACTCATATCACCGACCTGATTTTACAACTTTTTTTCAGCAGTCGTTAAGTGAATCACCATGGTCATTAAGCTAACATGATGGTAGTTAAGCAAACCAATGGTTCACTATGAATGAGATAGCTGTTGTAATCCCAAGATCATTGTGGGAAAAGGCAGAAATCCCAGGGAAAGAGTATGCAGATACCATGACTGGGAGGCAAGGAAGGTCTAAGAGTTCAGGTCACATGCAGCCAAGGGAGGCTGGGGGAGAAACTGAGCGGGGTTGGCCCATGCCACACTTGAACTACAGGTGGCTAGGGAAAGCCTGGGAGGGTCAGTGACAGCCTGCATGGGGGGTGGGGGAGCAGAGCAACTTGCAACCTTCCCTACTAGCTTCTTCATTGAGTTTGCTTGTGGGAAGCCGACAGAAAAGGTCACAAATGAACATCATCACATGTTCTCAATCATGACAACTCAAATCATGAGGTGGACACTCTGATAATGTTCACGTGACCATATGGGGCCAGAATTTTACCAACTAAGCATATAGCCATTTTTCCAGTAATTTGAACAATTACCGGGCAAATGGACATAAGCCAAGGTCTCCCTTTACATCTGTTTACTTAGACCATGGCTTCCACTTATCTTTAAGGGAAGTTTTTTACATGTCCAATTGAGAGAATCTGTGCTCCTGTAGTGCCAACCAAGTAGATGAGATTAATAATTACGTCCTCTACTGCCCTATCTAAGATAAAATCAAAAGGAAAATGCTGATGACAAACAAATTTATGGTGCAGGATACTAAACAACCAAATTACCTTCTCACAGGCACAATTCCAATTATTAACAATTAGGTCAACTACCTTTGCCATGCCTTCTTTTAAATTTAGAAATGAAACTTTAAACCCCCAATTGTAGTATTGGTTGATTCTTAATTCTCTTGTATGCTTTCTTTACTGTTGTTTACAATTTTATTGTTAATCTATTTTATTCTTCTTTTCTGATATATCATGTTGTTATGGCCTGTGGTCACAATAATAAATTATTGAACTATGTGAGTATTGGAGATGTACTGGTGACATGTGAACCTCAAGTCATAAAAAAGAAAATTATATTATTATAAATCTCAATAGAAATAGTTTAGCTTTCCATTATAGCTGATTTCATGATCTGGCCTTTCAATCTCTCTTAGCTGGTTAATGGTTCTTTCATATTTCCATCTTACCATTTTATTTTCCTTGTTCTTGAAACATATAGAAAAATATGGCTATATTATCACCTTGGTAAGATCACACATGATGCTTGAATTAAAGTTCAGCAAAAGGCAAAATATTAAGTTCAGCAAAGCAATTACTACAAAAACATGAAGAAGTGATAGCACTATATTTTATATTTATAAAAAACTCTAAGGCTTCAATTCATATTTTTGAATAACATATATTTACAACATTTCTAACTTGCTTTTCTATCACAAATAATCCAAAAATGCATATTCTGGTTATTGAGCATATAGTAGGCATGTTTATTTACATTATTAATAAGAAATATCTCATTAATTTATGTAGTTTGTACCTTCAATATAGCTTCCAGTATGTACAAAGTCAGAAAATAATAGTTGCACAATTTTAGTTGTGGAAAATATGGTGTATTGGTAGGAAGTATAAAGTAAAGAACAATTGGAAAACAGTTCAAAAGGGTTACCGTGCAACATATATATTCAAATTCCTCCATTATCACTAATTGGTAGCATATTCTCATAAACCTGTTTCTGTAAAGGGAAAAAAGGTCAACATGCAATTAATAACAGTCATTTAAACATCTATTACTTTTCATTTCTTAATATCATATATGGACAGCGATCAGCACTGTCCAGGAACCTTGCTCTCAAAGAGTAATTCAACAAGAATCCAATTCTGTGATTTTTATGGACAGTTAAAGATGCCAAATAGATACGTGAACTCAAATTACCATAACAAAAAAAGAATGGAATGTGCTTTGTCCACAAAAAGATAGAACTTCTGTCAAAGGAATTAAATCAACACGAGGTAAACTGTCCAAAATATTTTTGAAGGATGTTGAGGGATTATAAATATATGGAGGTATAAAGTGGCGATTCTAAGGAATATATGTTCTTTTCTGAAAGACACAGATCTTTCTCAGAAATAGATATTTCTAAAATGAAAGATTTATATAATCTGAACAGAAATCAAACATAGTATTTCAACAAACAAAGTGGAGTTATTATGATAACCTTTTTCAGATTATAGGTAGTCCTCAATTTACGACATATTTTTTATAAAAGACTGGAAAACTTTTATGAAAACTTTTTGCTGATAACATAAAAAAAAGTAAAAATGGTGATTTCTGAATTTGATTGTTGCAAAAGCACTGAATAAGGGGCTGAAGGGATTTTTATAATATTAAAGAGGAAGGATAATGACTTCATAACTGCTGTAAAGGTTGGAAGTTGTGTCTTTGATTATTATTTTTTTCATTAACTGTACTTTTCTCTGAGCTTTTTCTTTCTTTCTCTTAATATATCTCTGCATTTGTCTTTATATTAAAAAAAAGATATTTAGCAGCCAAATTCTCTTGAGACTAAATAATCTTTTCTCCCAGTCTGCAAGTAAACTAAATGTTTCAATGGATCCATCCAAATGATAATTCATAAACAAACTTAGAACTGTCAACAGATCATGATTGTCACAATTTTCTGAACAACTTAACATTGAGAATTTTCCACATTCTTTCTCATAAATCTGCCTTAGAAACTGATTACTAGTCTCTACTAGCCTTTTTGATATCAAGTTTCCAATTTGGAACATAATTTGTTGCAGTTCCTTTTTTCTGCATTCAACAACATTGATTGCTATTTCAGGACTAGAACTTGCTGAATTGGAATGAAAGCTAATTTCCAATAAATCTGGGTACTTGGGCTGAGTAATTCTTAATTACTAGTTATTCAGTATTCCAATTATTAAGGCTAGAATATAACAGTACATATATCACCTTCATTATATAAAATGTTAATATTTCCCATTATACATATTTTAAGATCTATTAATGTATACCAACCTTGATGGCTTAAAACTTTCCTCTTTCACAGAGTGAACCCATTCAGTTAGCCAGTTCTTAACTGTGACCAATATACCTTTGCTTTCCCAATAAGTTTTTACTTCATGAATATTCATAAACCTGGAATAATTAAAAGCATATACTTTAAAACAGAAGGTAAAAAGTGAATACAAGATAATTCTCAATACTTTTGCCACAAATACAGATAATCCTCTAATTATGACCACTCATTTAACAACTATTCAAAGTTAACAACATTGTTGAAAAAAGTGACTTATGTGTGGTCTACACACTTACGACTGTTGTAACATCCCCAGTCACATGATCAAAATTCAGGTATTTGGCAACCAGTATGCATTTATGATCTTTGCAGGATCTTCCCAGAGGGCTTCCAAGAAAAGTCAATGGGTGAATCCAGATTGTTTAACAACTATAGTGACTAACTGAACAATTGTGGCAAAAATGGTTGTAAAATTGAATGACTGCATCGCTTAGCAACAAAAGTTCTGCTTCCAATTGTGATAGTAAACTGAGAACTACCTATATGTTGCTTTAGATTATTTTTCTCAATAAATAAATAAATGAACAAGTACAATATTTTTGACTTGTATAGTTGTTTTTTCTTAAATCTAGTTATAGGATTTGTGGAGAATAGATTACATTTCAGGTAATTTTTATGCAGAAGTACTGAATATGCAAAGAGTTAACAAAATTTTAACACCATTGTAGATGCACATAACAATGCAAAGGAAAAAAAGGAAAAAGGGAAAATAAAAAAAATAAGGAAAAAGGTAAAGAATAATCAGTAAAAAATACTTATTGGGGAAAATCACATAAGTTTAAATTCCTTCCTATTGTATGTGACTGATGTAACATAAATATATTCTATTTCTCAACACTGTTTCTAGTTATTGTCTTTGAATCAATTATTTCCCCCTTGAAAACTATATTGTTAGGTTTCTGAGTTTGCCTTATTATGTGAATAACTGTATATCAGAAACCATTCTCACTTAATATACCGGTATACTGTTAATTTTACTAGTGTTGCATATTCCATGAGTGTAGTTCCCTAATCTGATATTGTTGGCAATGTAGATAATATATTCATCCATCATCCAAGTGAGCCTGATTTTAAAAAATGTAAGTTTTAAATATTTCCACTTTCAAAATGTTTTTTGTAAACTTCTCTCCATAATCTGAGTTAATACTTTTGAAATTGCAAATTGAATTTGCTGCTGCATGTCAAATAGAATCCCAAATATTTGTTGGCTGGCAACCCAAATCTTCCTGCACAAAGCTTTCTTCTTCTTGAATTAACCCTATTATTTGCTTTTTGTATGTTAATTTTATATCCTGAGAAATTCATCAAAACTATTTTCATCAACTCCTTTATTGCATTTTGCAGTTGCATAATAGTTAGTACACTATCCACATACTATTTTAAGTTTTATTTCTCTCTTTGAGTCTTGATACCTGATATCTGGTTTAGTTTTGTTTTTTGAAAACTTATTTGCTAATACTTCTAAAGCAATCAAGAATATGTAAATGAAAATAGTAAATGAAAAACAAAGCAGATATCCTTATCTGGTATCTTTATTGATTGTAATTTTTATAGATGTTTTATTAACTATTATCTTTGTTATTTGCCATTGATATATACCGGTACTTTTAGCCCATGTTTTAATTTCTTCTCCAGGATTTTGTTTAATGTAGTATTTGTAGTATTTCCTTTTGCTGATCTGTACATTTCATATGTGTTGTATTCAAATACTCTCTAATTTTCTCCAAAGTTGGTATATATTTTCCACTTTTAATAAATTTGATTTGCCATTTCTTTTGAATTTGAAACATGCTACTTTATGTCTTAAATTTATGTTCTTTTCTCAATTGATAGGCCAATAATTTATCTGAGTTATCTTCCTTGAATTTTGGCTTAACAAAAATCCATTTTCTTGTAAGTATCATCTCCTTCCAAAAGACTTAACTAGTTGCAAATTGCCCTCCCCATATCCAGGATTTGATCTTCTATTGATTCTATTTATTTCAAATCTTTGAATAAAATAGCTTTCTAGTTTTGTGCAGCTTGCTTTCTATTTACTGCCAAAGAGATAAATATTATAATCCTTTCATAAACACTTTGCTGAACTCCCAAGCTGTGAATAAAAAAATATCAGGAATTGAGTTCATTTGAAAACTCTTTACTTCATTGGCCTTTCAAGATTTGGCTTGGAAGCAGGTCTGTTTAGTATACGAATGGATTTCATCCAGATATTCTTAGATATGTTGCACTCTGCCCATCAAGGTCATAACTAGTGACAGTCGTAACTCTTACTTCATTTCACTTTTATGGTATTTTACAGGTGTCAATATATTTTTTGTTACATGTAAGTTGCATTTTTTTTAAAAAAAAATACATCTGCCAGGAGGATGAGAGTCACCGTTTTTTATATTGGGTTTTTATCTTTGTAAGCCACCCAGAGTGAATGAGTGAGTTGGGCAGCCATATAAATTTTATTAAATAAAATAAATACAATTGTAACATTTTATACATGTCAATAAAAGTAATTACAACAATAGCATCAACATATTATAGTATCTACTCTTCTCATTTGAAATACTGAATTACAATAGCTGCATGTGCATTATTTTTATTAATTGTTAAGCACTTACTTTCCTTTAATATCGACATAGCTTTCTGCCGCACCTATCAATATTTGTGCAGCATCTTGGTTCAGCATTCCACTGTTATATTGCTTCTGATAACTAGCCTATATTTTAAAAAAAGTCTGAATGAGTAGAATTCCAGAACTGTTGACTAATTAACCCATAAAGCACTTTTATACATATAAAAAGTATTCATGCTAATTGCTTGCCTGCATTTAGTCTTAGGACCCTATTAGTTTTACTAAATCTGCTTATGGACTCCACTGAGAAGCACTATCACATCTGATATGAAGCAGTTCTATATGGTTCTTAAGCTCTAATGTCATATTATTTTGATATGTGATAAGCTTAATCTTCAATTGAGTCTACCAACCATTATTAACTGATACTTATCTTGAACTTCAACCATTCTAATTCTGAGGGGAAAAACAGGGATTGCAGTCATTCTGCTGTTTAAATGGAAGTCAACTTGAATTATCTGTAATAACTATTGAGAATGTTTTTCAATCTTAAAACTAATTGCTTACTAGGGGGTCATATAACACCTGTGATTTTTCTTTATTATAGAAAATACCAAGTATTGGATGAAATAAAGTTGATTTCCTTTTGCTTCTCAGATCACTGTTTTCTCAGAACATAGAAAAACATAGTTCCATTCCCATGAAAATAGAAAAATGACTCCAGGCATTAAAGTGCCAGTAGGTAATATGCTTAAAGTTTTACCATTCAGAACTTTTTGAGCCCGACAAAGTTCATGTCCTAAAGACAAAACAAATCTACCATAATTTCAAGAGATAATCAAATACTTCAAATGAACCCCTAAACCTCAGGACCCAAAAGAGAATTATAGTCTTCTATTAAGGAGGGCAAAATAATAATATTTGTGCAAAATATCCTGTTTGCATGGAGTATAGGTTCCAAGAATGCTAAATAGCATCTAAGTAATGGTGACATGCATTCATTCATTTCCAAACCATAGTCCCCATTACCAGAAAACACCATTTCAAAATAACAAAATGGAAATCAAAGCTAACAATTAGGGGTCTCAACTAATTTTGAAACCAGAATTTGTAACCAGTGAAAAATATATTTGGATCTGGCAAAGATATCTTTGGTGGAAAAGTTATTTGTGTATGCTCTTTCATGTAATATCACGTCACATCATGTAATATAATATAATTTCATGTTAGTATGAAACTAGCAGAAAGATGTATACTTGAAACTATTTGGAGGCAGGGTGTTTTGAGTCTGCAGTGCTGAATACAGATGGCCTTAGCCAGTACTGCAATCATCTTTCCTGAAACTCATCACTTCGTTCTTTATTGACTAGTTAAAAGCATTATTAAAATGGGGATGTGATATAGAAGAATGATTCTCCCCACACACTATTCTCTTAGCATAATTGGACTACATCCAGTCTGCTAAACAAGTTAATGAAATAACCTGAGATTTTCTTTAGGAAGGTGTGTGGATGTTTGAGGCAGGGGTAGATTCTACTTGCCTTTACTGCCGGTTCACATCGTGCCCACGTGCGCGCACTTGCTTAACTCGCGCTCACGCTCGCTCTTCTGTGCATGCGCAGAAGCTTCTGTGTATACACAGATCACTTATGATAACGTCCAGGTCAGTGGGTGGAGCCTCCCACCGGTTTTACTACTGGTTCTATAGAACCGGTCCGAACTGGGGGCAATCCACTACTGGTTTGAGGGATAGTATACATATAACAGAGTATCTTACAGATCCAGAGAAGAACCTGATCATTACATAAAAGTATCCTTAGGTAAGTGATGTTGTGGCCCAAAGTTTGCTAACTTTAAAGCATCCGAATTATTTTGAAGCTACCACAACATTTTATTAGGCATGCAAACAATACACTGGCTCCCAACAAACCAACTTGTTGGCAACTTGTTGCAGCCCTGAGCAAAAGGAAAACCAGAGCTTATTTATCTTTAGGCCTACTACAATGCAACCCTTGACCTACTATACTGAAAAAGGCAAGACAAAGGAAAAAGCAAAAACAGTATAAATTACATGTTCTCACTGGAATGTTTTTGACAAACCCATTTGAGTGACCTTATTATTTATCCCTTCCTAGTAGGTCAGAGAATATAAATAACTTGGTTTACTAGGCCACTGGTCATTAACTGATTCATTTCCTTTTCGTCACTGAATGTCAGTTTAGCTTGTTCCAACTATTTTTAGAAGGGCTCTTTAAGTAGTTCACAGGTGGGGTACAGGTAGTGACATCTCAGATTTAGTAGTGAATGCAATTCACAAGTGTATGAATAGGTGGTACCTTTTATTACTATATTGTGTATATTTACTTACTTCAATTTATATAGCCACCCATTTCAAATATATGACTCTAGGTGGATAAATAATTTATTTAATAGTGGTGACCAAGGAATTATTGGGGAAGTAAGTGTAAGAAGATCCCAAAAGCTCTTACTAGTCCTGCTAAATACTTTTGCTCTCAGATTACATACATTAAATATATTTAGAACAAAAAAACAAAGGGAAAAATACTAACTATCTGTGCTGTTAAGAGACGTAACCTGGCTTCCTCAAACATTTCAGCAATTTGTTCAGGATCTCTCTCAAATGTAATATCTGCATTGCATTCTGGACATCTAAGTAATCTGACCAATTGATTAATTTCTTCTGCACTTAACTGCAGGAGGAAGAAAAGAACAGTAGCATAACTAAAAACAATGATAATGATGTTAAATTATTCAATCAGGGGAGGATTGTAAATATTTTTTTGATTTTATATTCTGTATTAATATCACTCTCTCCATCTAGTTCCTCCCTACTTCTTTCTCTCCACTTACAACTATACCCCTGGTGGCGAACCCATGGCACGCGTGCCAGAGGTGGCATGCAGAGCCCACTCTGTGGGCAAGCGCACCATCATCCCAGCACAGTATGCCATAGGGTGGGTGTCGGCAAGCCGTGGGCTCTTTTGTCCCTCCACTGCAGCACTCTCTCTGGTGATCCCACCACTGGCTGATCCCACCCCTCGCCTTCCCTCCTAGTCACCCCAAAGGAGTCTTTGAGGGCTGAACGCCAAGAGACACGATTTCCTCTGCCTTCTGCATTCCCACCCTGTGCTGAAGCAAACCAAACAGGCTGGGGTCTCCCTCCCTGCTAAGTGGCCTCACCGAGCCTGCATGCAAACTTCGCCGAGCGCAGCTCCAAATGTTCGGCTCACACATCCCTCCCGGCCAGCCCCAGCATGGCGGCAGCAGTGGGGAAGGTACACACCTTGCCTGCTCCACTCTCACTGGCCAGAGGTGGGGCTCTGCTCCACCTCTTCCCAGCTGAAGCACCACGTTTTGTTTGCTTGCTGGTCGCCTCCGAGGAGGGAGCTGTACTAAGGCCACCAGGGCCACTACCAAGTGGGGGGGGGGAGGGAGAAGGAAGGTAGTGGTATCTCCCTGAAAGGTTCCAGGTTGGAGTTGCCTTATTTTGCAACTGCAACCCTTGGCTTTGCCAACTCCTCCAATGTTTGGCTTTGCCAACTCCTCTAACACTTGGCTTTTGCCTGCCAGCCTCCACTCTCCCTCCACAGCCCAAGTGGTTGGATTTACATAACATGTGAAGCACGGATAGATAGATATATATAGATGGATGAATGGATAGATATATGAGAGACAGAGATAGAAAGAGAGAGAGGGAGAGAGGGAAAGAGAGAGAGAGGGAAGAAAGAGAGAGGGCTGGGGGAAGAGAGAAGGAGGGAAAGAGAAATATTACAAAAGTTTTTCTTTTTCATTGTTGCTAAACGTAATATTTCAAATATTTTTATTTAACATTTGTATTACTTACTCTATAAGGATAATCTATTTTGATTGCTTTTTCTGCCATTGCCCAGTTTGCATCAGCCAAAAATCGATCAAGTTTTAGCATTGCAAAAGTGTTGGCCTCCATTTTTCTAATACGTTGAATAGCATTAAACATTGCCATACGCTTTGGAAGAGTAATATTACAAAGCCCTGTAATAAGAGAAAAATAATTGGTTATTGTGAAATGTGTATGAAATATGTAAGCATCAATGATAGTCTATAAATTATAATCTATAAATAATCATGTGACTCCCACCACTAGGAAATTATTGAAGATCTGGTTGTTCTCTTAGGTCTTGGGGACAGGATGACTACAGAGCCAAGGTTTTGTTTTGGTTTCAATCTGCTTTGGTTTATTTTTGTATTTTGCTCTTCTAGGTGAATTGCATTTTTAATCCGTAGGATTTTTTAAATTATAAATTGTTTGGCAGTTGGGTAGCCTATAAAATAAAATTTTAAAATAAAATAGCTCAATTTGAAAGAAACTTTATATTCAATTTTAAGAGAAGCATTGACTTCAATTGCTAACTCTATTTCCACCCATTAACCTCTGCCACATTTCCCACTTTTTTTCCTGTTTCTATCTTTGCCTTTACATTGCTTCTCAGTTCGTATCACTTACTCTCTGTATTCAATGTCTTACTTCTTTTCTTGAAGTTTCCCTACAATTTCTCCCCGTTATGTACAATCTCTTTATTATCACCACTTACGCTTCCTAAAGGATTTTTTTCCCTCCCCACCATGCTTTCTTTCAGTTCCTCCTGCTATTTTCTTAGCTCCCTGCCCTATTCTACTTCTTTCCTAAAATTTTCCTTCCTTTGGCACCATACTCTCCTCTTTGCTGACTTTGGCCAATTTGTGTGTCCTGTAAAGTAAGCTATTACTCCAACTACAAGTTATTTTAATACTCAATTTTAAATGTTAGTGAGTTTCAATTCACTTTTGTATCTGTTCAGAAGTTCAATGGGAGAAACCCAAAGTTAGTTTGTAGGGAATTGCCATCTTGTTATATTTCAAATAAATTAAACATATAAAGATGTATTGATATTTGGACTGTGAATTATAATTTAGAATATGAAGATATTACGTACCATCAGTGGTGGGATTCTGCCGGTTCTAGGTGATTTGGCCAAACCGTTTGTAAAATTGCTGGCTTGCCCCGCCCCTCCGCACCACTGGGCGAGGGGTGGGCGAGCCAGCAATTTAACAAACGGTTCGGTGTTTTTTTTGTAATTTTATTGGCCTCGGAGCTGCCGCGGGGCTTCAAAGGGCCGCCCTACCGCTGATCAATGTTAAAAGAAAACAAATGAGTAGACCGATTCCTGCAAAAATAAATGGGTAGACCCAGTGGTGGGATTCTACTTCGGAAGAACCAGTTGTTAAGTAGTTAAGCCAGTGGTTGCCAAAGTGGGCGGTACCACCCCCTGGGGCCATGCCTTAGGGGATGGTAAGAGGCAACGGGGGCGGCAGGGGGGGCTAAGTGGCCCCACCCTTTGGCCTGTGCCTCGCAGCACTTACCTCGTTGGAAGCAAACAGCAAGAAAAAACAGCAGCTTCAGCATTGGTTAATTAGCACAAGTTGATTAGATCTGCCTCCCGATTCTCAGCTGATTTGCTCTCAGCTGTTTTGCCAGGGCTATGTTGCTATCTACAAAGAGTGCTGGAGCAGATTTATTTTCCCCTAGCTATGCTGAAAAAGCAAAACTGAAAGTAAAGCAGGGTCTTTGCTGCAACGCGACAAAATGAGGCAGAGAGAGATTTCTTTTTCCTCACCAAAAAAGGTAGGTGCAAAACTCCAAACAATGGGAAATTTGGGACAAAAGAGGAGAGTTCAAGATTTTAAAACACAAAAGAAAAAAAGCTCTATTTAACTAGGGAACTGTAATAATTGAGATACTACTAATTGTATATTGTGTTGAAAGCAGAAATGGTTAAATTGTGGTTTGGAGGAATATATGGGGAAATTATTTGGTTTATTATTATTGGTAAATATAATTAATTGATTTGTAAGAAATTGGATTGCATGGAAATAATTGGAATATTCATGTTCATATTAATTAATATACAAAAAGATATAAAAAGATATAACTAATTGATTTATATTAAAATGTTGAATTTATATTAAACAACTGTAATATTACATAATTAACCAATGTGAGGATGGATATAAAAATAGATGACAATGGGAAGGTGTATAATATAGAATAGAAGGGAAAAATTGAATTTGATTAAGATTAGAGATGAGGATGAAGGGTAATATTGGTTTTTTTAAAAAACAGATGAGGAATAAATATGGCAAAAAAGAAATATAGAAATTGTAAATTTAATTGAAATGACTAAACACTGTTTAAATTTGTGAACCGGCCAAATACTCTGTTCAAAGAAAATACATTGTATGTTTGTATGTGTATTTCAAATTATTGCAATTTATTCATATTTGTTCTCTTTTATTCTTTAAAAGTTTAACAATTCATTCTTTATCTTAATATCTTTATATTTGTTTGGGGTTGGCTTTCTTCCCTTTCATCTTTTTTATTGTACAGCAATCTTTCTCCTCAAACCTACCACCTCTCTCTTTTCTTTCCTTCTTACTTTCTCTCCCCCCCACCTCTTCTTCTCCTCCCTACTTCCTCTTTGTTGATTGGCGCAGAGAAAAGAAGACGCGACTCAGCAGAGGTCCTTTCAGCACTTTATTCATCTAATACGGAACTGCCAGCTGAGCTGCCGAGCCCTCTTTATATACAGCTCCGGCAAGCTAGCCAGCCAATGACATCCATTTAAATTTCCCGCCGGTGGATTAGCCAACCACCGGCGGATGCCCATATAAGGACACAACACTCTTCCTTTCTCCTTCTCCTCCTCTCTTCCTCCCTCTCTTACCCTCACTCCTACTCTAATTTCCCTTCCCTTCCTTCATCCTTCTCTATTGCTGTATCCTATTATGCATATGGACTACCCAACTAAGCCACGCCCACAGAACCGGTTGTTAAAAAAATTGAATTCCACCACTGCGTACCATACATCATTTAAAGAATGTTTTGGATTTGACAGAATATAAAAATTGAATATGATTAAAATAGATATAATATAAATTTATAGCATACTTATATGTGCATTCATATGTAGAAATGTGTTTGTGTATGCAGCTCCAGTTAAATTCTGTGTACATATGAAGTTAAATTCTTATCCAGATAATGTTATACTAACTTTATTAAAGGATTCCAATTCAAATTACTGGAAAGTAGATGCATTTTATATATAATTTTCTTATTTAATTAAAAATTGACTAGATTGACAAGTTTATCAAATTAAATTTTCAGCAAATTTGCATTTGCAGAATATAATATGCCAGTATTCAATACATTAATAGCATAATCCCAGACATACTAACTAAGACATGTCCAACTGCATTCAGTAGGAAATATTTCCAGGAAAATGTACACAGTCTACCTGTTAGAAACTGAATAGAAAAACAAATATTTTTTAAAATGGTATGTTTAAGATGTCACCTAAGGTTATAACCAGCGTCTTCACTGTGGTTGAATTAATAATCAAGGTTAACAGTGATGCTGTTCCAGAATGCATTAATATCTGAAACACAAAAAGTTATTATAATTAGCAACCTCATAAAATGTTTATACATTTATGATACCACATCTTAAGGGAGCAAGGCAAAGTAGAAAGAAACTACATATATAGTACAATTTCACCTAATAAGCTGGCAAAACAAAATTAAACATAACCAACTATGGTAGTATAGTCCTGGATTCTGAATTTTGTTTTATCCCCATAAAAAAAGGAGCTGAAAAAGAAAAGGAGTTAATTTAGGTTCTCCACCTACCCCTTCACTGCCATTAATTGTTTACATCAATATTTTAACAAAAAACATTACAATTAACACTAATTTACTCTAAGAACTGAATTTGAAGAAGTAGAAAGGGAGTTGAGACTAGGATGTATTTGTCTCCAGATCTATTGTACTTGAAATTATAATGAGAGAATTAGAAAATAATTGCAATAAAAGCTTTGGGTTTAAGCACTAAAATTCTAGGAAGAAACGCAATGACATAAAAATTAAAGAAGATTGTATAATTATCCTTTTTTAATGCTGAACATCTTGCTCTTAACCAAATACCTAAATATTTCACTTTTTTTACAGTTTGAAGTCCCATTCTTTCCTCGAGTTCTCCTTTCTGTTTTTCTGTTAAATTTTAACTAACATTTTAGTTTTTGAATAAAAGGTATCTTCAAATTATTTGTTTAGAGATATTAACCAACAGTACTGTGAACTCCAAAGCAATCGATCCATCAGTTCTATAGCACAAGAGACCGATTACTATCTTGAGGCAATGATCTTGAAGCAGAACCTCATTAGTTTCATTCTAATTATATCTGAATATTAATATTCAGGAAAATAGTTAAAATACTGTTTTTCCCTGAACTTCCAGAATTTTATTTTATTATGTTTTGGATAAAATAGCTAGCACCTATAAGAAAATATTTGCTTGTTTGTTTGTTTATAATATTTCTTAACCTCACATCTCCCTCAGAGATCATGCTTTGCCATTATTCCATCTTTATATTATAACTAAAATTGTTAACCCTCCTTATCATACATTGTTTGACTGGATCTTCTGTTTCAAATTTTAACAAAAGTTTATATATTTTAGCAATTATATGTCCATTTAAAGATGTGATTCTATTTCACTCAGACTTAGTCTTACAATGTTCAAAACCATAAATTTTGTCTACTTTAAACTTTTCTAAATATTGTAAATTTATTTTATTTTATTTTTTATTTTTATTTATTTTTATATGCCGCCCTTCTCTGGAGACTCAGGGCGGCTTACAATGCGTTAAACAATAGCCGTCATACTTTTGTATATTTTATACAAAGTCAGCTTATTGCCCCCACAAACCGGGTCCTCATTTTACCCACCTTAGAAAGGATGGAAGGCTGAGTCGACCTTGAGCCTGGTGAGAATTGAACTCGCAGTAATTGCAGGCAGCAGGATGTTAAATGCTGCCTTAGTAGGAGGCATTAGCCTCCTATGCCACTCAGGCTCCTAAATATGTAAATATGACAACCATTGACATATCCCTCTGCCATTAGTTCCTCTCTTGATTTTATTTTTCATTTCTCTTGACAAAATTCTAGTATATTGTAGGAAGCTCCTCTCTCCTAGAGAATGAAATATTTTGGAGAATATTAAAAGAGGCAGAATATTATATTTCCCTAAAGGAGAAATGGAGAAAAATCTTAACAAAGGCAGAAAGCAGTCCTAACAGCCTCCAGCAGATGCCTCAAGTCTTTAGAGATGGATATTTTGTGCCCATTAAGAAATCTGGACTAATCTATTCATAAACAAAACAGCTTCAGCTCCAGTTGATGGGATTTAGAAGGACAGGACATGACCTTTAGGACGTAATAGGATTAACCCACCATCAATCAAATAATAAAAGCACACAAAGCAAACCTCAAAATTACGAAGTACTGTAAATTGTATAAAAATCCTTGCACTCATCAAGCTAATTTGTCAGCTGTTCCAGAACAGCATGCTGTTGTTGGTCCGGCTCATCAATAAACTTTCTTTCTTAACCCTCTTATTCCCGGCTTGGAACTCCACCTGATTTTTCTTCCCACAATATCATTATAAGTTAGCCATGTGTTTTTTGGCTATTACTTCTTGTCTACAAAATGTATCTTGTGCAGAAAGTAACAAAGGAGTTTTTGGGTAAAACCTGGATTTATATAAATTCAATATTCTCAATACAGTACATCTAACATAATGATTTTTGAAATCCACATTAACCTTGATTTTATTATAACACAAATATCCATGCCACTTAAATCTCAGATCATGTCCTTCTAACTCCAAAAGCTTTTTATTTCTCAACAGCTCCCATTCTTTCATCCAAACCAAATAGCAAGCTGCAGAATTAAATTTCAAACAACTGATTTTTTTTGTATTATATGGTATTAAGCCACTAGAATCAATAGGCTGAGTAACATAAGAGAGTCACCTTGACTGAGATGGTGGCATACAAATTTGATAAATAAATAAAAATAAATGTCTGTGTACATCAGTAATCAAAACAATTAGGTGTTGGTAATCACCTTTAAAGCCCTTCATGGCATGGGTCCAGGTTACTTAAGGGACTGTCTCATCCCACTTACGTCTTCTCTGGAGGGCATTCCCTGCCATTATGTCTACCCTGTGGAGCATCTTGCTCCCCAAAGTGAGATCTGCTCTAACCCTCCTGTCATTCCACAAGAGCCTAGAGACCTGGTTCTGCCAGTTGGCTTGGGGCTCCAAAGGAAGGCCTTCATGTTGGGGGTGATTGATAAATTAATATCTAATCCCACCTCTTCATTCTACTCCCTCCCCCCATCATTTAGCTATTGTATTTTGTAGTATTATATTTCTGTAGTATTTTATTTACATAGTTTAACTTTTTAATATTGTAATTTACCCAGAGTTACCATGTGGTAAGATGGGTGACTAATAAAATTGATAAATAAAATAAAAAATAAGATACTCTTTGATCATGTTAACATCCCTTTAACACAAAATAATTTACAAATAATCCTTAATTTACAATCATTTGTTTAGTGACTGCTCAAAATTTGGCCTGGAAAATTTGTTGTTAAGCAAATAGTGATTACACACTATTTTATTAACTTTTTGCTGTGATCATTAAGTGAATCATCACAGTTGTTAAGTGAGTCATCACATGATTGTGACTTGAGACTTTCCTTGCCCATTTCCCCATTGACTTTGCTTGTTGGAAGCTAGCTGGAAAGGTCACAAATGATATTCACATGGCCGGAGGACACTGCACATACCATAAATACATGATGGTTGCCAAGTGCCTGAATCACAATTACAACCACAGGAATGCTGCAATAGTCATAAGTTCAAATTGTCACTAAATGAATAGTCATAAATCAAGAGCTACCTTTATACCTATTTTATATTTTTAATATAAATTAAATCTCACATTTTTTACAAGTCAAACTGAACTATATTTTTATTACAATGTCCAATATGCTGGTATGCCTTCACTTCAAGCTTTAAAAAGCAGATCCAGAGGACATTTTGCTAAAAAGATTTGCATAGGTTTAATTTCTAATATAAATTTATCAGAAATGTTGATTTTTCAAGATACTAATTAATTTTTACCTGGTTCTTAATGCTAGCCTCAGCTGGAGTCTCACTCTCTGTCTGGCTAATTTGAAGAGCCATGTTCAAAGTAAAAGTGCCTCTCATTCCACTCCAAACAATAATAGCTCCCCAACGCCAATTAAATCCATAGCCCAGTCGATTCAAAAAAGGACTCAATGTCAAAATAACTAAAAACCTACGTAAATAAAATATAAAAATTAGCAAAATTATATTTAAAATATTAGTGAAATTTTATATCATAATCAAAAATTAAAATAATTTATTAAACAAATAATTCATCGTTATCATCTATAAGATAAAAGACTGCATTTATCAATCAATATAAAAGTTTGTTATTAAACAAAAATATATCATGTTATTGTTTCTTTCATATAAACACTGTCTTTCTCTAGAAACCCTAAACAACATACATGGGAGTTTTCCCTTATTTTATATGCATAATCCTGTGAAGTTTATTAATCTGAGAAAAAATAATTGGCAGAATTACAGAGAAAAAGTTATGCAGTGAACTCCACTATAAATGAATACTTAGTTGTGTATCTAATGGGAAGACCCTGAGTTTATCTACCTCAAATTAAACAATTTAACTATTATGCTACACTGGATTTCCAATGTATTATTCAAATACTCTCTATATAACTTTTTTCCAAAACAGAGCAGGTGTTACAAAATCTTAATACTCCCATGTTGATTAAGATCATTATGATTAGTTTTAAGTTATATTGTAATTTACTGAGTTCTAACATAGTTTACAATGTCCAGACCAAGGATGACTCTGACTGGCAGGGTTTTTTTTAAATTCACACACACACACACACACACACACACACACACACACACACACGCACACACACGTCAAAAATGTGAAAGTTTTGGAGTATTCCAGAAAGCTTTTCCCCTCATGGGCATGGCATATGCAGCCCCTAAAACACTGGCATAATTCATTTCAACCATTATGAAAGAAGAAGGGAAATACTTCCTACATTCAACAGCAAAAATTTAATGGAAAACAGTTCTTCTATAGCTTGATTACAATGCAACTCATTAGGAAATAATGAGAATAAGCTATATACATTCATGTTCAATGACAGAGGTATTACAGAGTTATTCAACCAAACAGAGCACTTTACACCAATGCTAAAATAAACTACAATGCATGGATCAAAGATTTTTGACAGCTTGTTTATCACATTTATATGCCACTCATCTCACGGTTCAAAGTGACAGTAACTGTAGCACTAAGAATTTTAATATTCTGTGCGTGTGCGTGCGTACGTGCATGCATGCATGCTTGACTGTGGCTTACTTCCAGCTAAATGTTTAGAAGACAGCAATTTAAGAATATCACTTAACTGATATAAACTGATAGGCAATGTTAGTCAATTTCCACAAACGTAAAAAAGTATTTACCTTACAAGATTCAGTGAAAGGTAGACTGTTACAATGTAAAAAAAAGCACGAGAATTTATATTTGGAAATGTTTTTTGAGCTATCACAATTCCTATTATAAGATATATATTAATGTGAGCCAAAAATGTCAGCATGGCCCAAAACCTGTTTAAGAAAAAGCAGATTAAGAGAGATATTAAAACATGCCAATGAGAAAACAAATATAGCAATTATTTATCATTTACCGGTATAACATAAGCTAAATTATATTCCTCACTATTTTACAAACGTAAATCTATCATAAACATTTCTATTTTATACATAATAAAATGCATTTTATTATATCACTGTATTGTTTAGTTAGTAATAAATGTTAACCCACTTGAGATTATATTTTAAACTGGAAATATTTTTAAAAAATATTTTTAAAAAAGGAAACCAAGCCATCAAAGAATACGGTGACTGGACACTATCAAACCTGACACCAGCCAGAGCATAGAAAAACTCGAAGAAATAGGGCAAGATCAGAAGATGTGGAAAGAGCTGGCCATTGAATCATCAAGAGTCAAACTCAACTGAATAGATAACATCATCATCATTTTTAAAAAGTAAAATTAGATGAGCAAAATTTAACCAATTTCAATATGTTTTTATTTAGACTATGTAGACAATCATTGACACTACCAATTCAATCATTTTAATATCATTTCAAGATTTCAAAACATATTAACTAATGTGATAAGGGGATTATTTATTGATATGATTTTTATCCCACTTTTATAATTGTTTATAAATAGCTCAAGGTGGACCCAGATCAACAGCCCTGTAGGGTGGGTTGGGCTGAGATAGAGTAACTGACTCAAAATCACCCAGCCAGTTTTTCATGCCTAAAATGGGACTAGAACTGGTTTCCTGGTTCCTAGGCCAGCACCTTAGACTACTAGACCAAACTTAATATAAGAGTATAAATTGTTCCTTTCCTCTCTGAAATTAAATCAAAACACATTTATAATTCCATAGCACTTCAATCAGGGGTAGGTTCTAAATTTTTTTACTACCGGCTCTGTGGGCGTGGCTTATTTTGTGGGCATGGCTTGATGGTCATGTGACTGGGTAGGTGTGGCCAACTCAATGTTACTTACGTCAAGGGGTGCCTCGCCTGTTCCCTCCCCTCCCAGGCATTCCTTGTCACACCCAGCCTCAACATATCTATAGTTCCGTAAAAATGTTGTTCACCTTTTTTCAACTTTATTATCTACATACTATTAAATGCATTTTCATGGACCACTGAAAGGAGGAAATGGCTCACATGCTTTGCCCAAGAATGTGATAGGCAACAGGCTTTTAAGGGGCTGCCAGAAAGAGGGGGGGGGGCAATGTATTTTCCAAAACACCAGAAAGCAAAACAAAAAGCAATGGATGGAAACTGAACAAAGAGAGAAGCAACCTAAAACTAAGGAGAAACTTCCTGACAGTGTGAACCAATAAAGGTGCAGAAATATTTCAGCCATAATTTCACATATAAAATAGCCATTCGTGTAATACAACCTGCATATTGTTCAGAACAATCATTAGTATTATGGCTGATGTTTGACAGCAAGCCTAAAAGTCAAAGATTACAAGACTGCTTCTTTCTCTGTATGTATACAAAACATCACATACCAGGAATAGCATATTAAGATGGACTTATGTAGTGGTAGGTTTCAAAAATTTTTACTACTGGTTCTGTGGGTGTGGCTTGGTGGGCATGACAGGGGAAGGATACTGCAAAATCCCCATTCCCTCCCCACCCCACTAGCCTGCTCTGGGAAGGAATCAAACTCTCCCCTCTTCATTTCCCCAAATAAAATATTACTCATAAGAAAAGGCTCCCAGAAAAGCAAGGAAAAATCAAGCTGCTAACAAGGAACCTGCCTGATACTCATTCCACATTCCTGCCAGCTGCATAAAGGAAACTTTGTAAGAAGAAAACAGCTACAGGTGCTTAGAGATAATAGAAAGTGCAAGCCAGAAGTTCAGCTCCATTTACAAGCAGGCAGAAAACTCATTCAAGACAGGATATTTCACAATGGAAATCACCCAAACCTTTTTAGAAACACAAAGCCCATGTTGCACAAACCCCAAAACTTCAAAAACATAGAACCATATAAGAATCCCTCCTCTTATCCAATTTGTTGTTCAGCTGCCGAGAAACAAACTGCTGAATGTCACTTCTGCAAGCAAAAATCTCCTTCCAGCAGCTGCTTCTTGGCTTGTCAATTTAAAGCGACGGTGTTCCCCCCCCCCTTCTTCTTTGCCAAGTGATCTCCTGGCTGAGAAGCGAGTCCTGATTTTTTCCTTCTAGCCGATCAGTTGGGAGGCTTCTTGGCTTCTCAATTTAAAGCGACGGTGTCTTGTTTTTTTTTCCTCGTCTTTGTCAGGTGAGCCCTGATTTTTTCCTTCTAGCCGATCAGCTGGGAGTTGGGAGGCAGCAAATAGACTGGGGGCAGGGCCAGGCAGAGTTGGTATTTACCGGTTCTCCAAACTACTCAAAATTTTCATTACCAGTTCATAAGAACCGGGGAGAACCGGTAGCAACTCACCACTGACTTCAATACAGAAATGATGGCCACATAACACAATATTTGAAATATTTTCTGTTCATTGCAGTTCTTGAAAAAACTATAGATTTTATAATATGGGGGCTTATAAAGAAACAGATTGCTTACCTGTAACTTTGTCTTCTCTCAGTGATTGTATTTATATATAAGTCTCTGCATCTGCACAGAGTAAACTTTGAAATATTCTACAACTGATTTTTTTTAGGAAGTCTCATATTTATCCTGTGATACTTGTTCTTGGGCACTAACACTGCATTTTCATTTTCTTCATTAATAGCAATGTTTCAGAATACAGTGGCTATGTACCTACATTAGGGTTTAGCAAACTACATCCTGTAGGCCAAGTTGGCCCATCACCATTTATATGGCTCATGAGCTAAGAATGGACAGGCTGGTTGTTGGCAGATTGCCATGTCCAAGCTTCAGGCAAGATCCCAGGATGAGAGATGGGGGCAAAGCCTGGGTAACCTGTGCAATAGGCTATCAGTGACCTCCCTGCTAGAGGATTGGTCTTTGATGTACCAGCCATGACTGTGGAAGCAGAGGAAGGGTGGAATCTGGTCCCAAAAAAGTGTCCTGACCTTCAATCCAAATAAAGTCACCAAAGTTGGGTGAATGCATAGATGATTAGCCAATAAACCAGAGTTATAAATAAACAACATATCCCTCACTGAAATCATTGTATGTCACAAACATGCATGATTACTAAGTTATACTTACTGATGATATGGCAGATTCATCATAACAAGAGATAGAACCACAGCACAGCTAAATGCAATGTCTGCACAGACTCCAAAAATGTTAGGGGACTGAAGGCTAATTCCAGGATCCAGAATATTTGTTAATATATGATTTATACCATTTGCTCCTCTTATAGGCCAGGTCCTAGTCTTCCATATGTCAATACCGATTTAGACCATAGATATTAACTTCTGCTACCATGATCACAGAAAATTGGAGCAGGATGGCTAATGAGAATTCAATGGTCTACCCATAAACCCAATACAGGATTTTCAAACATTCAAAAATTAGAGGGAAAAATAATATTTTTTGTGAAACTTTTTTCATCAACTATAAGAGAGTAAGCACGTAAGCAAACTGGAGAGGCAGAACTGGGTGTGGTCAGCTAGATTATTGGATCTGCCACAAGAATAGCTATACATATCAACTCAGTAATGAGAGATTATCAGAAGACTGTGTAGAATTATTGCCAGATACTAAGCAAAATGATTGAAGTCTATGAGTCCACTGATGTCAAATCCAATTCATCATCATCTCTGGGTGAGGATAGATTAGTCAAGTGAATTCGTATCTCAGGGAAGAAGAAAGAATTTATAAACCCTTCAAAACAAAACAGACAGTTGACTAGCAACAAGGATGATTTCAGGTGTAGTTAATATGGTCTCCAATGTAAAGTCTAGATTGTTATAAGTGACATAATGAGGGTAACAAGGACTTGTACATAGCAGAAATAAGTGAAAGTACTGCTATAGTGGGCTTATTAAACCATTAAAGAAAAATTTAGAAGAACTAAAGAAATACAACTTTTTTTACAAATGAACAAGTAACATCCAAGAAAGGATTCAGTCACCTATGCTGGCAGAAGTCCACTTCTATCATCAGGAATTTATTATACTTAGCAGCTTGGACAGATATATATTGGAACTATAAAACGTAGTATTAATTCATCTAAAAGAACATGAAAAATATTGTCGGCTAGAAAAATTTGAAAAATCCACAGTAGTTGAACACTTACTGCTACATAATGGGCATAAAATTCAGTTTAAAGACACATAACTACTACCAATCATGTCAAATTATCATGCACAGTTCCACAGAGAAACTATTGAGATTTATAAACACGGTAACTTTTACAAGAAAAGAAGACAGTCTTAAGGTTAACAAAGCCTGATTCCAACTTTATATCACACCAAAATAAAAAAGCCCTTAATTGACACTTAAAATCTTCAGCAATCTCACCTGACAAATAATAAACAACAATGTATTTCAAAGACCAATCAAAAAATTTGCTCCTCTGGAACTTCTTCAAATTGGACCAAGTATAATTTCATCCGGATGAAGAATCAGCTAGCTTTCCAGAATTCCAATGGCATGGTCCAATTAAAAATTAGTTCATTTGCAAATACAAAAACTCAAATCAATTCCTGCTCAGTAGTCTGTGAGCTCCCAAGAAGTGTACCACAGAGCAGACCAATTGCATCTCTGAAGTTGCCAATCACAGTTGCTAGTGAAACCTCTAGATACCAAATAATTACAATGCAGCCTATTAGTCTGGAAATTCATCACCATTGAACCGAGATCATTCTTTACTAGGAAGCATTCTAATTACAATTGTGGCAGTATTTCAACTTCCTCTACTTTCAGACCACTCACCTAGCATCTAGGTAAAAAGACCAGATTACAGCTGATGTTGCATGGCCAATATCAGGAAAAGAGTACACTGAGATCGCCCTATGATTTTCGTTGGAGCATGCTATCCAAACTGAGTAATTCAAAACAGCCTCAAGATTTATACCTCCACCATTGTGCCTGAGACCACTTCAATCAGCTTGGCCACAGCAGTCAATGAGCAGCAGTTTAGATGGCATACAAATAATTTTCTTCTGTCTCTCTGACTTCTCACTCAAGCCCATTTTCATGAGATTTCTTGTGAGCAAAACATAAATTCTATAGACTGAAATTATAATAATTTTAGTTTATCAATATTCATATTTACCATTTCTTTTATAAAAACCTGGTATACAATTACAACTATAAATAAAGAATTTGCAAAATGGAAATTCATTCTACCATTCTACAGCCATTTTAATGGCACTAATTTATATTATATTATATGTAAATGAAAGAAAGTAAATATTTACTTAAGGTAAAGAGATAAACTCTTACTTGTAAAGAAAAATATCCATTCCTGGACTAAAGGATACCGAATCTAAAAGAAGGCCCAGAATAGCAAGAGCTATAACTCCAGACATGCCAAGCCATTCAGCTGAAGATAGAAAGGGAAAAAAAGTCATTATTATACAAAAATAAGCAAGTCTACTTTAAAATTAAGCATTTGATAAAGATTATATCGTGAACTTACCAATAAAAAAAATTATGTATGCCATGGAGAAGCTTAAAACTACTTCAATTATTCCATCATTGAAAATATGTTGCAACCAATAAAGAACTAGCCTTGAACTCAAAAATCCAAATGCAGCACTTGCAAAAAATTTTAAAAACAGTTTTATAAAAATCTCTTGAACTATAAAAGGAAAAAATAATTACAATTTGATTGTTTTTATTAAATTACTTTTAATATTGCATATCTAACTATCATAATTTTAACAATTCCGTTTTATATCATATACTGCCTAGATTAAAGTTATATTCTTGCCTTAGTCAAATCAAAGTAATATTATTTAAAACACTAAAAGTCTTACAGTGAAACAAAATTATAGACTTAAACTCATTGATTCAAATGGGACTAAAACATGACTAATGTAATTGGATATTGGAACCATAGAATTGGAACCATTCTACCAGTAATGATTTTACTGCGAGGACAATATGCATACAGTAATCTAAAATATGTGGGCACATTTTAGTAGGCAACAAAAATATATAAATCTTTGAATAGCTTTAGGAGTGTATCATTCAATTGTGACTCTCTTAAAGAAATTACAGCAACGCTTATCATTCAAGACAATTATGTCTAATACCTATTTTAAAAGTGCATGACGATGCACTTCTCCAGTTAAATTTGGTGAACAATCTGAGGATGTACTGGACTCACTGGGAATTTTTTGGCATATCTCACTATGTGCATGTAACATTGTTGCTCCATGAGCTGAACTGGCTCTCAGTAGGCTTCCAGATATAATTCAAGATACTGATTATTGCTTACAAAGACCTCCATGGCACATCACCAGGCTACTTGTGTAACCATCTTTCTCCTATTATTTCTGCCTACCCCACCAGATCTGATAAAGAGAATATGTTTTGGGTTTCCTCTATTAAAGAATGTCATGGTATGGGACCAGTCATGCTTTCTCAATAGTAGTACCTGATCTGTGGACCAGGCAGCATCATTCCCAACATATGAATGGCCTCAAACCTGTTAGCCTTTCACGAGGCACTGAAGACCTGGCCATTTCTGGAAATTTTGCCAGGAGGCAGATGAGTTTTCTTTCTATTGATGGTAAGTGGGATTAACAGTGCATTCTTGGGTACCAGAGGAGTATGTTTGGGGTTTGTTTGTTTTAATCTTGTGAACCATCAAGAGTCACTTGTCTGGGATTGGTAGCTATATACATATAATATAAATAAACAAACTAATTTTTCTTCCAGGTCTTCCATTACGGTGGATGAGGCCTCCTCAGTGGATGAATTTCTGTAAATGTTGTATTGAATTGTCAGATGCTGTCTTGTTATCTACATGACACTGCCTTTAGTCTTTTTTTTTTTTTTGGAGGTGCTCAGACCCATTTTGAAGTCAGGCAACATCTAAATCCAATAAAATGAAATGCCCATTTCACAACCCATAGTTTCTGCAAACTACATATAACTAAGATTTTATAGAGCAGCGGTCTCCAACTGTTTTGGTTCCACGGACCGGTGGTGCTGGGAGGTGGCTTTGGCGATTTCAGTAGCAGGGGAATGGTTTCACACACACAATCTAAATCCTATGAATGCTCAAATGAAGCTTTGTCCATTCACCCACCCTTCAGCAGCCCAGTTCCCAATGGACCACAACCCAGTAATGAGCCATGGCCCAGGGGTTGGGGACCCCTGCTATACAGCAATTATTTCTCAGAGTGTACAAATAGAGTGAAATAATAAAGTAATTATCATTACTCACTGTATTAGGCAGCATGACAACAATGATTAATACATACCGGTACTAAATATTGTAATTCGAATGGCCTTGCAAACATATAATTAAAAATTATCTGTTGAGAATCACGGTATTACTATATATTATTCTATGCAAGAAAAAGTTACATAAAAATAGAACATACCTACTTCCTGGTGGCTCTGATTTATAAGGTCCTTATACAATTCAAAAACAATTACTGTAGTTGCATCATTAAACAAAGATTCACCTTTAATTAAGTTGATAACTATTTTTGAAAGGCCTAAGAAAAAAATATGAAAATTAATGTAATCCAGTCATTTATTTATTTAAGAAAATTTATATGACTGCCCAACTCACTCTCAGTGACTCTGGGCAGTTTACAAAAATAAAAACAAAAAAAAATACAATAAAAAAGCCATAACTCCCCCCCTCAAAAGACAACTATTTAAGTGAATTAAGATTCACTTTTATTGTTAACAAGTAAAGAAATCTAATGGGAGGGGGCATTACCACACTTAATTTTTTATCTAAAAAGCAATGATGAAATAACAGCATCATGAGTTTCTCAATATAAATCCCATTACCAGTTTACATTATGCATGCTCATAATGTCTCAAAGTTAATTGCTGTGATTGACCATGCTCAGAATGAGGTGAAATTGGCAAAGGATGCTAGACTTCTTCAATTATATTCAAAGTAAAACAATCATTATGTCAGGGTTCCAAGTAACACCCCCAATGAAAGAAGACCCCAAAACTAGAAGTTCCTCAAAGTTTCATTTTAATAGAGATGTCATATTGGCACATCTGGGAAAACCCGAATCTGAAAGCTTCCAGGTTTTCCCCACCCAAAAGAAAGCCCTGCACCCACATGTCCATCACACGGTCCATTCAATGCACCCTCCCAACTGGAGATGTCTCCCAGTCACGCCATTCCAGGTGCAGGCAGAATGTCCTTGACTCTTAGAGAAAAGAATGTTATTATGGCTAGATATCTCCACAACTCCATACAATCCCCCTTCCCAGTTTCCCACAGCACTAAGTGTGGCAGCCCTGAAGATCCAAAGTAAAAGAGGGCTGATTGATGAGGTAGGGGATGATCAGGACTGAGAGGTCATAGGGAAGATATTGTTGTGACTCCGACCCCCGAGCCCATCTTATCAGAGGGAGAAGACTCCGAAAGTGAAGGAGAGGAGTTGGCAAGGCCTCCCTCTCCAGGACCCTCCTCTCTGGCAATGCCTCAGGTGTCCTCCGGAGGCCAAGAGATAGGCCAGGAGCCAGGCACTTCCAAGCAGCCGCAGTTAGACAGCGATGGAAATGAGTCTTGGCTGGATCCCCGACAGCGTCGGAAAGACAAGCACGTGCAGCAGAGAAGGAGGCGTGCCAGAGATTAAGCTGAGTCACTGGACCACACCCCACAGGGGATAAAAGGGGGTGTGATGGCCATTCAGGCCTTGTGACGGACAAAACTGAAAAGCTAGCAAATCATACTGTTTCTGGAACTTCATTATATGCCCTCCTTGGATTTATTATGGACTGGACTAGACAATTCTTTGACTTCGTGGACTTATTTTGGTTTATCGGACGGAGGAGAAAAACCTCCCTTTGTAAGTAAAGTTTTTTGCAGGCAGCTACTGGGTTGCTGCCAATTCTGTTATCTCAAAGAAATTCCTGACTGCTGGTTTTATTAACTCCTGGCTGACTGTTTGTGTGCATGTGTGAGACGGGGACAGAACAGATATGATACTACAGTATCTGAAATAATATTGCCCAGAATATCAATTATCCAAGGAGTTAGTAGGTTTCCTTTCAGTGGATGTTCTAAGAGGATGAATATTCTTCTGTAAAAGTACTTTAATCTGTACTTCAGCAATGAACAGAAGTTTGGATTCATGATTAAATGGCCCCTTCAGGTCTATGACTCTATGACTTTATGAAATTGAAATCAATCCTAATGTTCTCTCTATCAAATCTATGAATTCTGTAGCCATTAATTACTTTTTCAAATGTGATTTGGACCTATTTGTTTTAGCAGCCCCCCTTGCCCCTTGCAACCATACCTCACTGTAGTGGTGGTGAGTGAACAGTATAAGGCTATTATACTGACCAACATAGCTCTGGCCTATGGAAAGACCTACTCCAGTGTTCCCCGCCAAAAAACTTTACGGATCAACTCAAAAATGTAGAAATATGGTACCAGTGTATCCCCCTGGCTGGGAGGTACCAATAAAGCTATAGTGGAAGAAGAAAGACACTATCATGGTAGCAGGAGTATCTATGACATGGATGGGGTAAATCCTAATGGTCCCTCCAGCCATTGACACAGCTCCTAGTAAAAAGAGAGATCTCTGCTGTTCGAAGACCTTCAAATTAAGAACATGTAACATCAAAATGAATAGGCTCAACATTGATATACTAGGCATCAGTGAAGTTCATTAAACTGGCTGTAGCTTCTTCAACTCTTATGATCATATCATGTACTACTCTGGCAATGATACCATCAGAAAAAAAGAAGTAGGTTTCATACTGCATAAGAAAGTTAACTCACCAAGGTTTCTTACAGAGGCCACAGAAAGGATAGGATCTGTTGTACTAAGAATTATGCCAAACAACATGCTATCATCCCAAGACCAATTATATTTATTAATTTTATAAGTTATCCATCCAAGGAAAGCACAATTCATCAAAAATCCAGGAACTGACAGAATTACCACCTGTAAAAAACAATGTATCCATATATTTTTGGAATTCAAATGGCTAGAATTCATTTATATTATTTCAAAATCATTTGCTAAATACAATGCAATAAATACAATAAATAAAGGTTGTAAATATGATTTTCTCAAATTAACTAAAATGTAAATTGCATAAAGGTAGTCCTTGCTTAACGACCATTCGTTCAACAACTGTTCAAAGTTGATAGAGCTGAATAAATGGTTGTCGCAACCAGTTCTCAAAGTTATACCGTTGCAGCGCCCCAGTCATGTGATCAAAGTTCAGCACTTGGCAGCCCACCTACAATTATGACCACAGCATGTATTTCAATTCCTTCTACCTGCCATTCTGCCCTTTTGACCACCCAGCCCTTTGCCGCATCTATTCCCGCAGCCCCACACTCCATCTTCTTCCTTCCACTGCTAGCAAAGTACAGCTGGCCAAGGCAGCTGCTGGTCCTTTTCAAAGTGAAGTGCAGGCAAGCAGGGTGGAATAGGTGAAGCTTCCGATGACCGTGCAGTCCTTGCCTTACGATTGCAATGGGAAGTGACATCACTAAGTGGTGCAGTCATGTGGCATTTTGCCTAACAACAATTTCATTTAGCAATGGAAAGTCTGATCCCAATTAAGGTCATTAAGTGAGGACTGCTTATACTTACACCAATTAGTGATACATTTAGAAAAGTTATAAACACAGACTATTCACATTTCACACACTTTTGTTCATATTTGATACAAAAGATATCATAATATATAAAATACTTGTACATATTTGGTTCATCACAGCTGCGTGTATGAAATATAATCAACAGGAGGATAATATATGGAAAAACAACAGTACTGTGGAGAATTATGATTAACCTAATGCATCTGACAGAAAGAGAAATAATGGTGATATTATATATGAAGATATGGAGATGTGCACTTCAGATATCTCTGTCCAATTAGCTAGAATTGGCTGGACAATCTCAAATAACAGGACAATCTGTACTATTCCTTTTACAATATATTCATGGATAATATTTCCAATACTAATAGAAAGGAGAGAAAAAAATTAAACTGGAAATATGATCCCCAGATTATTTTTATCTTGACTGCAAGATCTGCTTCAGTAACAGTGGAAGGATCTTCATCAGCTTATTTTTTTTCTTACCTGCATCCACACTGTTTGAACTAAGCCACTTTGAAACCAATTTGGTAAGGAACTTTACAGTTAATTTAAAACCATGTTATTCATTCAGCCAGTGTGTTATATACATCAGCCTTTTCTTAGCGGACTGTTATTCAAATGATGTATTGCAGTCATAAACATCAAGACAGTTTCAAATAGCCAAGATATTATTCCCTTTTCTACTATCCTGTTTGTAACTTGTTAAAGACAATACTTACACAAAGTAAGCGAATATGCAATGCTCATATACAAAATTCAAGATTTTAGATAAACCAGACAGAATTGAGATCCAAAAGGAAGGTTAGTACAAAGGTTTTAATTGACTAGTCATTCAGCAGTTATTATAGGCCCAAACCTTACCAAAACACCAACATTTCCTTAACCCTCTCCTATTAATCCATACCCCAAGCCCAGCTCTCACATTAGTTTTCATTCTATCCTCAGAACCTAATAACAATTCATTCTTCCTATCACTCTTTCAGTTTTTTCTCCCTAACAGCATTGTATAAACCAATGTTCAGAACAAAACCAGTTTCCACCAATAATATCTCCCCAGACCATCCTCTTAATCAATGACCACCTATCAGATAACAGTTCGCATTGCATTGTTACAAAACTTTCAAGTTGTCAACCCAAATGGCAAGTTGTTTTGAGAGACATGCCCAGACCCAGCAGTTTCAAGGCTTAGATATATGTGAAAGAAAACTATGCAAAAATCCAACTCCACACCCACAGCCTAAACCCACGTGCTGTATTATTCTGTTGTGGAATAATACAGCACGGACTAACAGACCAGCTTTGGACACTCTTCTCAGATTTCTTCCTTGGTTCTCCTCCTCTAGTACCAGCACTTATCAGCCTCTCTTGATAAGGCTCCATGTACCACAGCCTGATTCAGCTTCATTTCCTCTTATCACATGCACTTTGTGTGCTTTTGTCTCAGTAACACTATCCTAATTCTTCATGCTGCAACCTTACTGTGCAAACTATATTTTTCCTGCAAGACAGTTAAAAATTCCGCTTTTGCTCTTGCTTTCTTCTCTGCTATCTTAATAATTCCATCACTGGTCATCTCATTTCAAAGCAACTCTGTGTAGCTTATAATATTAAAAGCAATAAAACTATAAAAGATAAATATTTCTAAAAACAATAAAAATAGAACTACAATCCAAAGTAAAGATAAAATTTATGACACAAAGACCTTTTAACTCCCAAATCCACTAGATAATATCTGAACTATAATCCCAACTCATTTTCACTTACCTTCACTTTTAGTAAGTGTCACCAATTAATTCAACTACCTCCACTTTATTCATATAGCCTCAGAAATTTAACAGAAAAAGGATATTCTCTGACCATGATTCTATCAATCTCAATTGGCTATCTTTTTTTCTTTTCTAACTTTTCATAGTTACTTTGAACAAATATATTGGGGGGTGGATATCAGCTACCCAATTGACAAGTTGGGTATCTATGTTGAGAACCTCTGAGGGCTGTTTTTGAAACCCACAAGAAAATCTGAGAAAGCCTTACTGAAACAAGACCTGAAGAGATTACTTCCTGCTTAGTAGTTAACTCTTCTCTGATGAATGTGACTGAAAGACTGTGTAGCAGAACTTTTGTTGTCTTCTTCTATGGCTGAGTAGTTTAAGAGAATAACTTACCCAGAAGATGAAATTTTTGCTCACCTTATTTGTGAAGGTGCTTTTTCAAAGTGGAACCACAAGGTGGCACTAATGTCAAAGGAGAAAAAGTAAATTCCCTTTTTTAAAAAATCCCAAAATGATGGGAACTAGTTTACGTTTTATTTTATCTGCAAAGCCGGACAATAAGGTCTCTGGATCTAAACCAACGGTGAAATCCAGCAGGTTCTGACAGGTTCTGGAGAACTGGTAGTGGAAATTTTGAGCAATTCGGAGAACCGGTAGTGGAAATTTTGAGTAGTTTGGAGAACCGGCAAATACCACCTCTGGCTGGTCCCAGAGTGGGGTGGGAATGGAGATTTTGCAATATCCTCCCCTGGAGTGGGGTGGAAATGGAGATTTTGCAGTATCCTTCCCCAACCTTGCCTATCAAGCCACACCATGCGCACCAAGCCAAGCCCACAGAACCGATGGTAAAAATATTTGAATTTCACCACTGATCTAAGCTAATAGAGGCACATGGGCATTGAAAGAAAGCTCAGTCAGGAATACCGTATTTTCCGGTGTATAAGACGACTTTTTAACACATGAAAATCTTCTCAAAAGTCGGGGGTCGTCTTATACGCCGGTGTCGTTCTCCTGTAACCAGGCAGACCAGCCCGAAAGGCTCTGACGAGCCTTAAATGGCTCTGGCAATCCAAGCTCTGACAATCTGCTAATCAGGCAACTCAGCTGGGATCGCCAGAGCCATGGAGAAGGAAAAAAGTTTCCCCCCCCCCCCAGCTTGCTTACCTTAGCTGCTTGCCTTGCTTCGCTTGCCTGAATCCATTCCATCAGCAAGCAACTCCCTGCCTGCAATCAAGCAGGCAGGGAGTTGTGGACTTCAACTCCCAGAATTCCTCAGCCAGCAAAACAAAGCTGGCTGAGGAATTCTGGGAGTTGAAGTCTACAAGTCTTAAAGTTGCCAAGGTTGGAGACCCCTGTTCTATTGGGTAAGTTTTTTTCCCCTTTGGGATCTTTAAAAAAAAATAGTTAATTGGGGTTTTTTTTAGTTGTTCTTTTTTAGACCTAGCCATTTAAAGTTTAGGAAGTTTTAAATTTAGCTTTCATAAAAATAAAAAATAAAAATAAAATAAAATAAAATAATATTTGTGCAGCTTTCTGAGATTTAGTGTGTTTCTGTAGTGTTTCACTCTAACTACACAAACACACAAAATCTCACAAAGCTGTATGTGGAATTTTGTGTGTGTAAAGTGTGAAAGTTGGGTTTTTGGGCTTTTTGTGGCTGTGTGAGGTTCCTGCTTGTTGCAGGGGCCATTTTGGGTCTAGCACAGCTGCTTTTACATTGTGGGTGAGCCAGTTTGTTTGTGTGTTTTTGTGTGTGTGTGTGTATAGTGTGAAAGTTGTTTTTTGGGGGGGCTTTTTGTGGCTGTGTGAGGTTCCTGCTTGTTGCAGGGCCATTTTGGGTCTAGCACAGCTGCTTTTACATTGTGGGTGAGCCAGTTTGTTGTGTTGTGTGTGTGTAAAGTGTGAAAGTTGTTTTTTTGGGGGCTTTTTGTGGCTGTGTGAGGTTCCTGCTTGTTGCAGGGGCCATTTTGGGTTAGCACAGTGCTTTACATTGTGGTGAGCCAGTTGTGTTGTTGTGTGTGTAAAGTGTGAAAGTTGTTTTTGGGGGCTTTTTGTGGCTCTGTGAGGTTCCTGCTTGTTGCAGGGGCCATTTTGGGTCTAGCACAGCTGCTTTTACATTGTGGGTGAGCCAGTTGATGTTTTTTAATTTTTATTTGGTGTGCGTTAGAAGAGGGGTAGTCTTACATGGTGAGTATAGCCCAAACCCTATATTTTAACAGGAAAATTCAGGGGTCGTCTTATATGCCCAGTCGTCTTATACGCCAGAAAATACGTACTTCTAGATCCAAATATAGAAGTAGGTGAAATAATGTCCCAATTATCACATAAAATAGACTTAAGCAGTCTTTTATAACTCTTCCCCAAACAAAAGTTTTTGATGGAGGTGAGTAGTTTAGAAGAAAAATGGAAAGATCTTGCCAAAGGAGCGAGGGAACTGCCTTCCATTCTGACTAAAAGAAAAGTGCCATCAACCTCTGTAAACTTTTAATTTTAAAATTAGGAAGTAGAATTAGAAAAGTACAGCATGCCAGTAATTAATGCAAATCATATGGAAATTGGCAACTATTATGCTTATAGTTGTTTTAGATTGGAACCTTGAGTAGAATAAGTCATTTTTTTGTCTAGCAGTTTAACTACTTATCAACTGAGGCTTGGGAGGAAAAGAGATTGCAATGGAATGCAATGCAATGAACTGCTTGCCAGGTGAAGCTAAGAAAATGTAACAGCTTCTCACTTTGATATGCTTCAGTGGTGGGTTGCTCCCAGTTCAGCCTGGTTCAGGCGAGCCAGTAGTGGTAATGGTATGACGTCAGCGAACCAGTTCTCTATGATTGTGAGCTGGGCTCACCCGCCCCCGCGTTATAACTACCTTTGTCGTTTTTTAGCCAAGCTGATAGGCACGGCACACCTCAGCTGGGCAGAAATCTAATGCGCTTGCGCGGAGTGCAAGTTCGGCGTGCATGCAAGCGAAGCGAGAATGTGTGCGGTGATCATATGCAAAGCGTGTGCGCGAAGAGAACTCCAAAGATGGCACCAAACGTATTAAGATGGCTTAGGACCAGGGTACTTACAGGACCGCCTTCTGCCACCAGTAGCCTCTCACCAGCCAGTACGCTCACATAGAGAGGGGCTCCTCAGGGTGCCGTTGGCCAAGGTGTCAACTGGCGGCCCCCGGGGGAGAGCCTTCTCTGTGGGAGCACCTGCTATCTGGAACGAGCTCCCCCTGGAGATACGGAGGATCCCGGATCTACGCACCTTCCGCCGCACCCTCAAGATCTTTCTATTTCAACAGGCTGGCCTGGCTTAACTTTCCCTTTTTAAATTGTAAATTTTTAAATTGGTTTTAAAACATTAGGGGTGTTTTAAATTGTTTTGGGCCAAATTATTTAATGGGTTTTTATATTGTCTTTTAAATTTTATAGTTTGTGTGTTTTATTTTTCTGGCTGTTCACCGCCCTGAGTCCTTCGGGAGTAGGGCGGTATATAAATCTAATAAAATGAAAAAAAAGAAAAGATGTAGAAACCCAGTTAAAAAGGTAGGAAAAGATTGGATTCTTTTCTCCTAAAGCCCCCTATTTACATTTCAAAATCTGATCCATAGGGTTGAGAAATTCTAAGCAGATATTTATGAGGTATGGGAGAGTGCTCCTAGTGTTTGAGCTGAATGTCATTTTTGAAATTTTGTATTTCAATCTCAATGGAACATATTTAGTCAGAGTTGTTCATTTTTGCAGCTCCTGAGATTTGGATGCAAGTATTTACATTTCCTCATTCAATGATTCTGTCAGTAGACTTTATCTCTTCAGTCAATAGCTCTTGAATTAAACTCACTCCAATACCATTCATACTGATAGAAATGAAATAAATCCAAGAAGCTAATCCAAAGGAACATACTGTACAGACTTCCACTCTGCGTCTCCCTGTGAGTAACAGAATGATACTAAATAACTTGATTTAAGCTAGTCAAGAACTGATAACAAGCTGAAATTTATAAAAAAAATTTAACATAAAAATTAATTTCCAGACTATGAATAAACAGAAGAGCAATGCATGATAAAGTGATAACTATTATAACAGTTTGCAACATTCAGCCAACATTTCCTGCTCACAGAATTACAGGCCCGTTTTTTATTTTTTCTTTAGGCCTATTTATAACTTTAAACCAGCAAGTGGGTAACTATTTGTTGAGGGATCCTTGGTGCTTTCTGAGCTTGCTTGTTTTCTTGCAGACGTTTCATTACCTTTAACTTGGTAACATCATCAATGCTAGTGAGAAATGCTGTTTGCTATCAGTTTATATTCTGGTGACTTGTCTGCCTGTGTGGGTGGAGATTCTTTGGTTGGTCTGTTTACTGATGGCTCTTTGACAGTTTCTTGATTGGGGTATTTCTTACTTAATTGTTAGTCTGAAGTTGACCTTGGAGTTAATCTGTGCTGATCTGAGTGCTGATTACTGGTGGAGAGGTTTTGGACTCTTTTTCTCTTTTGGGCTGGTTAATTTATTTATTTTATTTATTTGTCAAGAACATATTAGGTAATAAGTATAAGTATGAATTGAATACATAAAATAGATACAAATAGAGGAAACATTAGGACAGGGATGGTAGGCACGCTGGTGCTCTTATGCACACCTCTTACAGACCTCTTAGGAATAGGGTGAGGTCAACAGTAGACAGTCTTAGGTTAAAATTTGGCGGGTTTTGGGATGAAACCACAGAGTCAGGTAGCGTATTCCAGGCATTGACCATTCTGTTGCTGAAGTCATATTTTCTGCAATTGAGAAAAATTGTCTCTTTTGTATAGTCTATGAATGTTGTTAACGTCTATGTGTCTATTAATGGCTGATTTGTCAGAGTGCCAGGCTTCCAGAAATTCCCTGCATTTTTGGACTTAGCCTGGTCTAGGATTGTCACATTTTCCCAATTGAAACTATGGTCAATTATTTGTTGAGATAATAGCACTAGGGCTGAAAAAGTGCAAAAGAATTGCAATACTTTTGTGCATGCATACCAATACAATTGTAAGTTGTTCTTAGAACTGCAAGAATGTAGGCTAAGACCTGGTGAAAAGCCAAAGTTAAAACATATCAGTTTTTATACTCAAAGAATTCTTACGACTAGGCTGCCGCAGCACTAATCTCTTGCTGAATTCATCCTAACAAAGAGGAGTCTTACCTTCCCCCTTCTTTTGATGTAACTTGCTTTTCAGTCTCCACTTCAATTCCTTTTCCTCACAAATGTTGAAGCATCATTGGACATTACCCTGGACTCTTCTCTAACCTCTTCTCTTCTCCATATCTTTTCAGAATTCTGGAAGGAGCCATAACTACCTTGAAATTTGCCTCTTTTTGTAATCAATAATGCTGTTTTCCTCACAAAAACTCTGGCCTCATCTGTTACTCCTATTGAGGTAAGATGTTTCCATCATCCAAATTAGAGGTGAAGAATCTGCAGCTCCTCATTAATGAACTGTCTTATACTCTGACTAGAAAGAAAAGGCTCAAGACACCTAAAACCATATAAATCCCAGGAAGGATTTGAGAAAATTTGAGGAAAAGAAATAGCAAATGGTTGAGTCACTGATTATCATGTTTCTAAAGAAAAAAGTAAAAACATATTGGACTTACCTGCCAAAATGATTTTCGAAATATATATAAATCCATCTCAAATGCAGCTGTAAATATTATGATTGGTGTAAATAAATGAAGAAAAAGTATCGGATCTATATTTGCGATAACTTTCACAAAAGGCAACTGACAATAAAATGAGTAAAAGATATTGTAAGAATACTATATAATGTAAGATTATTTTATATACTAGCTTCAAATATTGAATGAATGAATAATCTGCATATTGATTCATTAATAGTAACTTTGTGCTATAAATATTGGAGGATAAAGTTTGATAATGAAAAATGTGCCTTGGCAGAGCATGGAGTTGGGCTCAGGAAACCACACTATTTTCAATTAAAGAAAGAAGTATTTTTTCAAACTCAGTCCTAAAGCTAAACTATAGCATATTTCTAATGTCATTAAAAACATGATAGGATCCTGGTGCTGCCCAATAATTCTTCCCATTTGGAAGCATACTTTTACTACTGTTGAGAACTCAAATTATGTTCAAAGTATTTCAGATGGTCACCTATATGCCAGGCAGACTGCAGATATTCTGAATAAAATTTCACTATTAGACATAGAATTTACATCTTCACAATGAATAATGGCATGCTCTGTGTCATGTTTTATTATGTTTTAAGCTGCTCAATCACCTCAAATATAGCATATAAATTTAATAAAATAAATATTGTGCTTATCTCTTATGGAATTGTTTTATCTTATCAAGATATTGCGGGGAGGGGTTTAAGAAAGGTAGTTACAGAGTTTATTTTTTGTTATTCTTTGTCATTTTCTTCCTTTTAATTTGCCAGAAAGGCAAATATAATTTGTGGAATCCACTTCTTTCTCAAATGCTGGGTTAGAGGAAACTCAAGATGAGGTGCCACCCTGGAAGATAAGTTGGTGATAACAGTAACTTCAAACTATTATACCAATCAGGAGGCAGATTTGTAAAGTGTATTGAACCAGGCAATATTTGGGACAGGAGGTTTAAGACCACCCACCTTTCACTACCTATATATACTACATCATTATCATTGTCATTCTAAATCCTATGTATCTGCTGTTAATAAAAAAGAATTTACTTTACACAAGAGGCCTCACCAGCCCAGATGACTGCTCTTTCTTCTGGTGTCTTCAGTGTCACAATGTTACAACACATATATCACCCAAGTGCAAGAAATGCTGAGACATACTATTTTAAAAGTAACAGTCAGAGTGAGGTGCCATGAAAAAAAAAAATTCCCATGATTTCTGCTAGAGTGGGAATACTTTGCAGTGTTTAGCCATGGCTAAAAGCACAAATTCCACTTACTTTCAAGCCAGATAAGGATTTTGGAAAGCATTGTGGCTCATTTTTATTACATGTAAACCAGGGGTGAAATCCAGCAGGTTCGGACAGGTTCTGGAGATCCGGTAGTGGAAATTTTGGATAGTTCTGAGAACTGGCAAATACCACTTCTGAGTGGCCTCAGAGTGAGGTGGGAATGGAGATTTTGCAATATTCTTGCAGGAGTGAGGAGGGAATCGGGATTTTGCAGTATCCTTCCCCTGCTACGCCCAGCAAGCCACACCAAGCCCACCAAGCCATGCCCACAGAACCGGTAGTAAAAAATTTGAATTTCACCACTGATGTAAACAGTAAGATTATAAATAAGGGGTGTGTGTGATATGGGTAGTGCAGACTTTTTAACAAAAGGAATCTGGTATCCTAACCCATATTTATAGATGTTTTATTTATTGTTGAATTTAGATGTTGTAGTATACATTAAATAATCTATGAAATTGATAAGTGGAAAAAAGAAGAAAATAGAAGATGAAATGTTTTGCAGAATTAAAATATTTACTAGAATAATATTTCATTAAAAAAATCAAACTGAAATAACTTAAGATGATTTCCCTCTCTCTCCCTCAGGAGTGGAAATATGCCATTTGAATAGAGCATAACAGGTATGTTCTTTTCTCACAGAAATTGTTTTCTTGCAAACCATTCTTTTAGCAGTATTTTGGACAGCATCTATTTGACTTGTGTCCATCCCAACAAGAATTTAGTATTATCTGATCACTGCTCGAATTGGCAAATTAAAAATGATACACCCATCCTGTAATTTTTGGGCTCAAAAGATCCAGAGTAGGTTTTAATTTATCCAGTGCTGATTCCTGGGCATTTCTGTTTAGACTCCAAAGGAGGACTGGGAGGGAGGGACCTTATTAGTGGAGAAGTGAAACTGTTATAGGGTTAAAGTCTGCTTGCACTGACTCCTCTAGTCTAGATGATTTAATAAACCTTGTTCTGTTTTGTCCACCATACTAGCCCTGTGATTACTGCTAAAGCCAAAATATATACATCTTACATATAAGTAATTTTTTTATTCATATTTGATTATCATTTTACTGACTCATATATTTAGAAATAATGATAATACCTCACTACATATTATTCCATAAACCATATCACATAAATAGCTGCATTATATATTAATTCAGAGTCGATAACTAGTACATAGGAAACTGGATAAATAGAAAGGGTTTCAACAGTACTGACCTTTAAGTTGGGGGAGGTACCCTTATTTATCAATCACTAAAGCCTCCTCCCCCATCAACACACATATTTCCTAATATATTCATGTAAACTTTTGCAATTAATATTACTAAGACTGAAGAACATGTGTTACGAATTCTAAGGCAAGTATATTAGTGTAGGAGAGGGTAACCAAACACTCACTTCACCGTAGCTTCCTATATTCTTTTGGAAGTTGGGAAAGTTACCATGCCAACATCAGGAAAACAAATTTTCTCCAAAGATCAACAGGAATAAGTGACAGATCAGATGATAAAAATATACTAGCCATTCTAAGTCCTTATATTTTTTTAATAAATCCTATTATCCCAGGGTATATTTTTTCATCAGATAGGAAATAATTTTTCCCAGTTATTCAAATATAATCAATAATTTAAATCTAAAGTTCCTATAATAAATGAAATTCAATAAACTTAACCAATCCTACAGCACTTGGTTTCTTTAAATCAATTTCATTAACACAGTGTTGAGACTATGTCTTAAATCCATTGAACCCATAAAGATTCTAGAATAGGGGTGTCAAACTTGATTTCATTGAGGGCCGCATCAGGGTTATGTTTAACCTCAGGGGGCCGGGGTGGGCATGGTCACCTCAACGTCACTCGTGTTGGGGTCATCAGTGGTGGCCAAGTGCTAAGGCAGTACTTCCCTCAGACCCTTCCTCCCTCTCATTATAATCTCCTCCCTTCCCTTCTTTTTCCTTCTCTCTTCTCCTTTCTTCTTCCTTTCCCTCTTTACTTATTTTTCTTTCCTTGCTCTCTTCCCATCTTCCCTTCTTTTTCTTTAACTTTCCTCTTTCTCTTTCTTCTTTCCTGTCCCTTCTTGGATGCTCAAATGCAAAGGGGGAAACATTTCTTTTTGTTGTTTTGCTAGCCCTCTGCCAGCGAAAGCCAAGTGGGGGGGGGACCGTGTGCGCTCCCAGGCCTGTTTTCAGCTATGGTGGCCTCCTGCAGCACTCTGTCAGCAAAAATGGAGCTTGAGGAACCGAGCTCCATTTTGGCTGGCAGAGGCATCGCGGGCTGGTCCTTTGCTATTTCCAGGGCAGCCCCGCGGGCCAGATCTAAACATCCCATGGGCTGGATCTGGCCCCCGGGCCTTGAGTTTGATACCCCTGTTCTAGAACAATGGATTCACAGAAATAGTTTCCAATATCTTCTGGGAGTAGGAACCCAATGGATTTCTTAGAAGAGGAGACCAAATTTCCTTTATCCTTTTGCCATCCCAGCCTAATATAGATTAATCTACAATGCCTATTTATAAACTGCAATAAGATATATTCCCTAGTTCTCTATATACTACTATTTTAATACTTTACCTTTTGTGAAAAATGGGCTACTATTCCAAGGATAAGTCCAACCAGGAATATAATTACAAGAATAGGGATTTTTGTTTCCTTCAAAATAGTTCGTAATAAGGCTGAAAGAAAATATTACCATTAAATTTGTAATTTTGTGCTGAATCTTAAAGCAGTATATGTTTTAAATGAGAATAGCATTTTTGAATCAGCAATAATTTATATGCAACATTCAAATAAATTTTAACCTTTCTGAGCTATTTGAAGTAACAAACATGTAATTACTGCAGTTAATTAAATGATATCAAAGAAGCATTAATCTAGTCTAAGCTACAATGAAATAAAATAAGAACAAAAGCAACAGTTTGGAAAAGTTTTTGCTTTGTGCCCAATGAATCAGAAAGTCTTGTACAATAAAGATGCTATCACCAAGATAAACTCTTGAGTGTTTACCCATTTCACCTCACATGGCAATGGAAACTAATCTGATGATAATCTGAATAGCATATAAAAAATCAGTTACTTGGTTCCTGAATCAGGAAACATTTTAAAGCTCTCTGAAATAGATCCAAAAAGAAACAGGGTGTATTGCAGTTGATTAGCACAGGTATAACACCACAGATGAATTTTATCTTCAGAAATATTACTACACTTCAGTCACAGAATCAAAGTATAAGTTATATCTCTTATTTTTCTGTTTATAAAATCTCTATTTTTTAAAAAAAAAACTAATTCATTTCTTTTTCTTATAGAATCATGATACAAGATATGAGATGAAGAAAAAATCTTTTTCATGTTGTAAGCAAACTGTATTTCTACTTAGAAAGCTAAACTACTGCTCTTATTTTATGTTTGTGAATAAATAACTATATTTGATATACTAAAACATAACTAGTAAGCCTAGAAGTAAAACAATCAAGAATTCTGAATTCTGTTTATGGCAAATAAAGAAAAAGGCTAATATGAATATATGGTATGTATTAACATTTTTCAGAAGTTTCTCAATACAGCAATAGCTGACAAGCAAAAATTTAAATTGACTTTTTGAAAAATAAATATGAAAAGAATATTTTTTCATATTTTGCCAAATTTTCCCCTATGGCCATATTATTCTAATACAAGTAGTCTAATTATTATTATAACAAGTAGTCTTTAACTTATGACCTTAATGGAGTCTGCCCATTATAGTCACATGTTGCGACAGCCATTGTGAAGCATCTCACTTAACAACCTCCCCAATCCTACTTTCCCCAATGCAATCATTAAATGAAAGTGCAGGTCATTAATTGGAGCAAAGGATGTCTCAGGTGGAAGAGGCCTTTGGAGGCACAGGCAGCACAGGCCCATGCTGCATGCATGCCTGCCCTGGGCTTCCCAAGGCTTCTCCTACCGAAGGCACCCAGTGCTCCTCTCCCTTTCCCTCAGGGTCATTCCAGGTCTTGGCCTGCTCTCAAGTCAACTACTCAGCCATGCAAGGGAGCCTATAGCTGATCAGCAGAAGTTTTAACTTTAAAACGGGTCGTATGTTCATTTGGCAGGGGTGGTGGTGTTCCATCATAATTTCAAATAGTCGCTAAGAAACCTATTGTAAATCGTGGACTACAGGAACCTGTTGAGTCTTTCTCTTTAAATGAGCCATTAAAAATCCATTGTTAGCATATTTGGTGTGCCATTATAGAACAAAGTCATGGTATAATTACTGTACATCAAACAGGCTCTCCACATATGGAAGCACCCTGCCTATTATAAGGCTGGTTCACATACTGCATTACATCATAAATTATAATTCATTCAGCATGCTAAAAGATAATTAAAGGGGTTATCTTCACAGAATGTATTTACACATTACATTAAGCAATGGATTAAATAGTTTGCTGCATAAAGCACAAGAGATTCACTATACACATTATTTAACATATTATTTAACAACCCATAAGGGCTGAATTCACACAATGAATCGTGAAATCCTGAAAGATCAGGTTAGGGACCAATCGTCATGGAAAATAATTTATCCTTCTGGTCACAAAGAGTCAACATTGTTCTGATGGTACATAATCACTCTATCAACTGTGCTGAAAGTCTATTTTTAAAAAGTTTGCCTAGAAAATGAAGACATCTGCTACATTAATTTTTAAAATAGCATGCTTATACACTGTAGCTGCAATCATTAGTAAACTATGTTCTATATTTTTTATTAATTTTGCTGAAATGTGGAAATACTGCAATTCTTCATGGAGAAAGTTGCATTTTATTACTCTACAAATCAGGTTGTTTTACACTTTGCATGCTGTCAAATTGAGTGATTGCAATTACACAGTGACTGTACTAACACTCTACAAATATTATCCTAATTACATCTGAAGCTCCAAACCCCCGTTTCATTGGTATAATGTACTACAAATAGAGATTTTTGAAAAACTGACATCTGAAAGGCCAGACCACTCTAATACTAAGTTTCAGTGTTCTAAGAAGTGCTTTGTAAAATCATAATTTACAAAATTTTAACATCAATTTTAATAGAAAGGCAATATAATTTGGTTGACAGTTGTGAATAGATTCATGTATCAGAAGAGCAAAATGTACATTAAACTGTTCCACTAAAGCAATAAATTGCTATGTTAACCACAGCATTTATACTCCATCTTTCTTTCAGGTAATAAAAGACAGCACATGTGGTTCTCCCTACCTCTCTTTTGGTCATCCAAAGAGGTGGTGAAGGGAAGCTAATGATAAAATATGCATTATGACATTGTGCAATTACACCAGGACACAAATAGAGATGGCATCATATGATTGTCACCTTGTGTAAAGTGTTATTTAATTACAATTTTCTGCACAATTTACTAGCCCCTACATTTATCATCACTAATGCTAATGTATGCTAATGAATAATGACAGTGACTAATCCAAGACCCTATAGAGGGCATAATAGTTTATGATGGCAAAAAACAACAACATGATAGTAACATTTTTCAATTAGCAAATCTTATTAAAAGACATATGAGAGTAACACAATTCAGCCAGAGATTGTTGAACTTACTTACATATCAAAAGCTACAGGCAATCATAAATGATCTTAATAAACACATTGGGTTTTAACATATTACAATTATTAATTCATAAATAATGTGTCTGACATGCAACCTGCATCTCCATAACCCACCATTTAAATCCTACATAAATTCAGGCACTCTGTACATCTAATGAAATGAGCTGCAGTCCACAAAAATATATCCTTTTAATAAAATGTTTTAGTTGGAAAAGATGCTATAGACAACTGATATTTCAACTGATCCAAGTGTGAACATGGATCTCCCCCATTCCTAACACAATTTTTACCTTATTATTGACATTTAGGCAAAAAATATGAGGCAGGAGCAAAACAAGGAAGGAAAACCATTTTTTTCTTCATTTTAAATTGTTAACAATCTGTATAACACAATATGGTAGTCACTGTTTGAAAATAAGAAATAAATCCACATATTTATGAAGTAGATTATAAAATTGAAGAAGGCAATTCAAGGTATTTAAGCAGGAATGCAAAACTAATAAGTCTATTACGCTAACATCAGGAAAAATATATGCATTCAAGAACACTTCCTTCAAAGGATTTGCACAGCCTTGATTAACAGTCACAAAAGCTGCAGAGAAACAGGAATGGGGGGGGGGGGTTATTACCCATCTTTTTCCTATAAATTATGCAGCAGCATGATTTGTCTTCATATCAAAACAAGTTCTAAATCCAGACTGAAGGGAATCAAGATAATGCATTTCATCTGAGAAGTACTGAAGTTGTAACATCAGAGTATTTGCCCACTAGCTTGACCAAACATGGAATTTAAAGAACAAAGTACAGCTTTCTATGGAAGAGACTACCGGTATGTCCTAAATGTGGTCTGAAACCAGATTTTTTTAATGGGATTAAATTGCAATGTTTAACTGACAACTGCATTATATAGCCATATCTTTACTTTAATTCAGTGCAGGTAGTCTGACTCATCACCATTCATTTTGTGACTGTTCAACGTTACAGTGGCAGTCAAAAAAGTGATAACTGTCACAGCAGTCACATGATCATGCAATCAAAATTTGAGCACTTGGCAACCAGCATGTATTTAAGACAGTTGCAATATCCTGGAGTCATGTGATCATCATTTGCTACCCTCCTAGCTGGCTTCTGACAAGCAATCATGGGGGAAAGCCAGATTCACTTAACTGCAGTGATTTGCTTAACAACCATGGCAAAAAAGATTGTAAAATTGGGCATAACTTCTTAACAACCCCCTTGCTTAGTAATCAAAATTCTCAATTGTGTTTATAACTCAAAGACTACCTATATAGCCTACTCTAAGTGGCAGAAAATTCCACCTTCAAAAGAGAAGCATTAATATCCAGGTACTCACAAGGTTATATAAGTCCATCCAATGTGGATAATTTGCTTCTGTGTATCACAAGAATCCAGAAAATCAGATTAAATAAATCACATGAATATGCTTTGCAAACTACATACTTTCATCAGCTTTAACATTTGATTATCTAACATTTCCCCAACAAAACTCATCTCCTGCTGAATTTGAAATTTTTGTTATCAGGTGAAAACTTTACAATTAATCCATTTAGGATATTTTAATTATTTTGTTTTCTTTGTTAATTCATTACATATATATTTTATATGTGTTATTGTAATTTGGATATACTGCTATTTTATTTGTTCAATGTTTAGTAAGCTCTTCAGTCACCTCAAACCACTAGATGAGCAGCCTATAAATTTGAGTTATTTGCAAGCTGCTCTAAGAGCTTTTTGCATTTTAGAAAAAACAGTCTAAAATAGATGGATGTACAACACAGCTGTCAATTACACATTGTGATGTAATACTATTTTTAAACAATCTTTCTGGTTTCAGACTGCATTTAGGGCCACACACATCTACATCAGAAATCTAAAATAGAACACCCATCCACTAGAAGACTGAATTGGCATACTATCCCATTAAGCCTTAATTTGGCTCATTTGATTTTGCCTAATGCTTTGTTCAATCCCTGAGTGTTGCAATTTCTAAATATCTGAAGACATTTTGTGTGACTATTACTGTGTTTTATCCAGTGACCATTCATTAATGTGGATTGTCCACTAACCATAAGTAACCCATATTGTAACAATGTACATCCAAGCCAAAGATTCAGTTATTGCTTTTTAGGATCCGGAACGCCCAAGGGCATGTTTAAAGGATATTTCTGGGCGCTTAGTCAAAAGCCAAGAGAAGACCTCCGACTTCCTACCTCCCAAGGCGCAGCTCACACACATTACCAACAGAATTATCGGTCTGTCCTTATGGATGATGTGAAATTTGCCATGAAACCGATTTTCCGCGTCGTTGCCATCACCATGCTGATTTTCATAGCGCGGAGAAATAACGTCGGCAAAGGCGCCGGTGACAGCAAGGCTCAAGTTTAAGGAATTCATGCTACCATATACTGCATACGTCACTTCACACCCTCAAGAAAGCGGGAGATTCATACGACGCCAGAGTTTGCATTTCCCGCCAAATAACGACTTCAGAAACCCGTAAACTTCCCTATCACGCAGACGCTACCCACTCCCTTTCTCTCTTCCCCCCCACCCTTAGGTATCGCTTTTCAAGAGCTTCTTTCCAGCGGGAGAACCGTTGAAGTGACGCGAGCGGGGGGATGGGGGGGCTTTTCAAAACCGCGCGCCACGCCATGCCACGCCAATGGGCGAGTCTCAGCGTCTCCGTAGAGCAAGCACGCGACCGGCCGTTGGCATTCCAATTCGTCTAGTCTGCACCAGCACGTGGCTCGTCAACCGCGAAGAGCCGGAAGGCGGGAGAAATGTCTTACTCTAAAAGATTGATTTGTGAATTGCGTCCGGCTTAACAAGGCACAAAACATATTTTGTAATTTAGAAATACATCTGTCAGCTCCACTTTTGGTATTTCGACGCTTTATAATAAACAGTGGACATCAATTAGTTTTCCAAGGAGTAGCGCTGTAACAAATATATTTACTTTGCAAAAGATGGAAACTCTCACTTAGATATTAAAAGTAGTTTCAAAGTGTTGATATTTCTATTTAGAGAAAATGTATTCTATAGAGATCCAGCTCAATGGAATGCATCATTACATGTGTTGAAACAAGTTACAACTAAATAGCAAAACATTACAATTTGTATAATTATACAAATATTTTATATTATCAACTTTGTGCCAAATAAACCCTTGGTTGGTATACAAACTACCTTATATACAAAATTAAGGTCTAGATTACACTGTGTTGGGTGACAAACTCAACACATTATAAATATTGATCACTTTACAACTTTTTTCCTTAGAAGCCTGCAGTTTCAGTGGTGAATCCCTGGAGAAAACTTAAGAGGAAAGATTCATTTGACTAGAAGTCAATGTCTTGTATTTAAGGGAAATAATTGAATACAATACAGTACACACAAAAAAGCAGAGGGATAATTACCAATTGTGAAGCTCTCCAGCCCTGAAGCCCATCCACTCCTTAAGGCTTTCTAATTAATATTAACTGAATTTTGAATAGTTTCAAATTGTCTTTAGTTTTTTCAGATATATGCTGATATTTAAAATGCCAAAATCATAAATATGTCTAAATGTTTACAATCAATAGTGAACAATACTGTATCTGCCAGAGTTAATTATGTCAAAGAAACCCATATAAATTGGATTGCAGGAAACCAGGATTTGTAACAAAGTTTATTGCAGACTGTAAATCTTGGATTCTGGAAAGACAAAATTATGGGCATAGGTGGTTTTGATAATACAGATCATAAATGTTGGTTAAAGTGTAACACACAAGTGAAAATGGCTAAATCAGAGGTGGGCTTCAGCAGGTTCTGACCAGTTCTGGAGAACCGGTAGCGGAAATTTTGAGTAGCTCGGAGAACCGGTAGTAAAAATGCTGACTCGCCCCACCCCCATCTATTCTCTATCTGCCAAATCCCAGCTGATTGGGAGGAAATGGGGATTTTGCAGTAACCTTCCCCTGGAGTGGGGTGGGAATGGAGATTTTACAGTATCCTTCCCCTGCCATGGCCACCAGGCCACACCCAAGCCACACCACTCCCACCAAGCCACGCCCACAGAACCGGTAGTAAAAAAATTTGAAACCCATCACTGGGCTAAATGTTAGCATATGAACACATATTAACCATGTACAATATACAACATAATCCCAAACTTTCCATGACCTCGTATAGAAACAATCTGGATAAAAAGACCTTTAGTTTAGAGTTTGAGGTGTTGGTATAAAGAAAGGCAATATATTAGTGTCATGGAATTTATTATATTGTCTTTTTATTCTGATTAAATTCTAACTTAAAATTAAAATGGTCTTCATAATTCTAGTCCTTTCCTATATATATATATGTATGTATGTGCAGGTTAACTATGTCACTTTTGAAAGATTAGTATCGAGATTTAACTTTATTTTCAGAGTAGAATACAATTTAGGAATGTATGATGCAGAAAGATTCCATTCACCAATTTAAAATTGCAGAAATAAAAAAATAGTCTGTCATATAAATGCAAAGTTCTAATTCAGTAATAGGATCCTATTATAGTCTGAAGCATGAATAAAATTTAAGAGCTTTCTATGCAGCAGTGGTCATTTCAATTGAGTTATGATGATGCTTTTAAACATAATATACATAATAAACACAAAAGACCAGCTTAGATTTTAGCACTAAAATCCATAGCTGAAACTTTTAAAGCAGTTTATCTTCTGATTGTTTAACATATAAATTCATAGTGCCTCATATTAGCAAAATACTATTAGTATCGTGGGAAGAAAAATAACTAAAGATGATCTGTGCATACATTTCTACACTTCTCCCAGCATGTTTCAAGCCCACTTCCTTTACAGTATTTCTATCTGAGTGCCCTACTTATTGGATTAATATTACAGACTCCCATCTCTAAAGTACAACCTTATTTTCTAGACTTAGGACTGTACTACAGGTAGTTCTTGACTTACAACCATTTGTTTAATGACTATGTGAAATTACAACAGTACTGAAAAAAGTGACTTATAACCGTTGCATGGTCATGTGATTCAAATTTGGATGCTTGGCAACTGGCTTGTATTTATGACAGTTGTAGTATGATCATCTTTTGCAACCTTCTGACAGTCAATGGAAAAGGCAGATTCACTTAATAACCCTGTTATTAACAACTATGGCAAGAAGGGTCATAAAATGGGGCAAAATTCACCAGTCTTGCTTCACAACAAAAATTTTGGACTCGGTTGTGGTCATAAATCGAGGACTACCTGTTTTTTTTATCATGCTTCTCTCGCAATCAAACTGCAGCTTGTTTCTTAGAGACTAGTTTCATTCATCAGATTTTCCTAATGGTTTATGACCTAGATAACGTATGCCTAAAACCATTATGGTTTAAGCCTTACTGCAGTGTGTTATATAAATCCAATTGAAAATTATTCAGTAAACCATAGTTAAAGAAATACTGGCTTAGAGCAGTGTTTGAACTAAATCAAAGATGGGAACATTAGAATATATTGGGAAATCAAGTGATCCAAAATAGCAAGTAGTCTTAAGTACAGAAGCTATATCCATAGTGATTCATAATAGGCAATCATTATGATGAATTATTCTTTTTAGGATATTTTCAGGCCTGCCACAAAAAAACATCCACAGTCGAACCCAAAACTATTTACAGTAACTTTGTTTTAGAATTCCAATATTGAATAAGGAATTGGAATAATATGTTCTCTCTATTAATGTGTCCTTTTCACTTTTTAGTCCATAGTTGTGGGACATAAAGATGAATTCAGTATTGGAGGGTTCGGAATTGAGTCACTGTTAAGACCTTTCACAGGTATCATTGTCCATTTGAAGCATTTTACCAGTGATGAAACTGAACAGGGTACAACAAAGATGTATTGTTAAATTATTGACACAGAACAAACTATTTTTATAGTAGCCGAAATCAGACACGTAAGTAGGAAAACAGACACTTCAATAAGTATTTTAATATTTACCTCAGTTTGACTCACTGTGAGGTAAAAAGTAAATTATTCAGTTCTGAGGCTACTCATGTCCTCTTCCCACTCCATTAGACAGAATTGGATAATGAGAAAACGATAGCAGAGGCTTTGGAAATACTAGGAAAATGAGTGTTCTGTTATTACCATCCATTTTCATGTTTTTCCATCACCTTTTTCTGTTCTTGGTTGATTAAAAAGATTTCAATTGTTCTCACAAATGTGACAAAATGAACAAAGATAAAAGCAGCCTCTGTAATTATGGAATATATATGGAATAAATACTATATAATAAAAAATAAAATATATCCAGGACATTAGAAGACTGCAGATGACAGGGCCACAGCATCTTAGCATCATGTCTTATCCCCAAAATACCTTGACTAAAATCCCTAAATGGATACACAATAATGAGCTGAAATAAAAGTGCCAGGAAATCTCAGTAATATGACTGAAGGAGCTTCAAAGACTTTCAGAGAACAACAAAAATTTACAATGCCTATTACATCATTATGTTTCAGCATATAAGTGCTTGAGTAATCAAGATTTTTTGATCTTTAGGACTTCCCCCAGGTTTTTGAACATTCACACTAATGTTTCCAGAATAATTTCTTCAATTATCCTGGTATTTGTATCTAACTACATCTCTATATCCATATGGCTATTTTTCTGAGAGTATTGCTGAATGGAGTTCTATTTTTAATACTGAAAAATGCAACATGTCCTCTTCGCAAACCTAAAAGGTGTAGAAAATGTCTCAGTCTCAGAATAAGGAATTATAAAACAATAAAAACAAACTCCAGATAGCAGCAAACAAAAAGTTCAAATAAGTTCCTGTAATATTATTAAACGAAAATCTAAAACTAGAGACAAAGGCAAGGAATTATTTTCTTTACAAAGTGGCATAATTGTTATTTCTTTATTGAAACTATGGTGATTTCAATGCAGTAATACTGGATTTGGATATAGTATTACAAATCTAGGTTCAAATCCACACGAAAATGAAGTTCTGATCCTAACTTACAATTTAAAGTTAGAAAATGGCTTTGAACTTCTTGGATAAAAGTGTGGTTGGATAAAATTATAGCAAAGTAGTCTGTGATATATTCAAATTAAATTTTATACAATATAATTCTATTGTATTCTGATTTTTGTTAAATAATCACTTTCTTACTATAATTTTGCCCAGCTATTATAGCCCTACAGTATTCATATTGGAAAGAGACAGGGAATTTGTCTAGAATCCCTACATAAGCACAAGGCAAGTCCAGCCCCCCACCCCCACTCCACCCTGTATGCTGTTGAACTTTATCTAGTCTGGCCCAGGTGCAAACTACCAGTCTGAGAAGATTCATTTATTCTAGGCATGAACAATAAAGTAGTTAATTGAACTCTTCATATGTGCAGCTGATTGTTCACATCTGACAATTCAGCAGGTTCTCTCCAAGTTTGCTATTACTTAATAATTGTCTTGGCATTTGTGCAAGGCCAGGAAATGTACATGGCCCTAAATTTGATTTATGATCAAGGACCTAATGAGTACTTTTTAGTTTGGTTTTAATCTAGTGTATAGTATAATATCTCTAGTTTTTTGCTTTAAAATTACTTTGAATTTAATGTCATCCTTGTCTCTTGTTTGGTTAGCCTGGGAATT